ATAGGCACCAAGCATTAGATCTTATTTCCAAACTTTACCAGCTGGGTTTTGTCATTAACATTTATTAACAATCTAAGATACAGCTTTCCACGTCTAATCTGTACTACACAAATGTTTTGTATGGCCCTCCAGAGGATTTTGCTGTGACAAATTACTGGCAGAGATTATAGCCCCGTGGCTATTCACCAGAGGCAATGTAAAATTAACATGGTACTAATCCAATTTAAACAAAAAGTTGCACAAACAATCCTCTGAACAAAAGCAGACAGAGGATTCCAATTTCATATTCAAACACAATAAACGTGTTTTTAATAAAAAGTTTTAGAAAAAAATTGAAGTAACTTTCACACATATGAATTGTGCCTATTTGATGAAGTTGTTAATTTTAATCTTCTGAAAATAGTTAGTGGCAGAGTGCAATTCACTATGGTAATCTCAAGGTCTATTACATTTCTCCTTAAAGAGTTGAATCTCAAATGTGGTCTGCAGAACATCACTGATTCCTAGTGACCTTGAAACCTGTTTACAGTGTTGTTTCTAAAGCAGAAAGTTTGTGGAATAAGGAGTAGAATTGCTCTGCAATGAAGATCACTGCACTCAAAGAATGAGACTATTGTCTTTCAAGAAGTACAAGTTTAGAGTTGAGCCAGTAATTTAACACTGTTTTCTCTTCTTCTTAATACACTTATAGTAACTCAAGAGAAAGCAGGCATCTGAACTTTTGTGATACCCTCTCTGTTATTAGGAAAAGCTAAAATTACTTTGCCAATGGTTTTGGGGCAAAAGGGTAGAAAATACACAGGAAGAAAGAGTAAACAGAAAATAGTGGGTTAAATGGAAAGATTCAGAAGATAGCAAAAGTGTATGAGGATGCATGTATTATGATGGAGGGGGCCTTGGTGGGAGCTTTTTACACTGAATCTCCTTTTAAAGGAGACTACCTCAATATTTCAGTGTTAACACTAACAGAGAGCCATGAACTTAGAGGATTCTCTTCAGAACATCATTTGTTTACTTTCTTGTATTTTACAAGGCACTTCAGTGAAAACAATGTCCTCTGTCAATATACACATGTGAACATAATTTACTCAAAGTAAAAAGTTCTTGCAGGGATATTTCTTAATAAGAAACACAATTATAATTAAATTATATTTTAATAATTAATAATTACTTATTTCTTCAAAGGAAATACCCTAGTCAACAGCTAACACTTTCCCATCTTTTCCTTACTGATTTTGGTAGTGCCTTATAATGAATTACCATTGCACTAGTCTCTTATCCTTCACTCTGCAACTTCTTCAATGGCAGGTACTATCTTCCACGTCTTCCCCATCTACTATCTATTTTAAAATGTGAAATGATTTCAAATCTAACAGTGATATTTGAAACACTGTCTTCGAAATATTACTCCCTTAGCTTTGAGTGACAAAATAACCCCGCTGTCCTCTTGTTTTTCTAGTACTTACTTTCTATTATTTTTGTCGACTTCATTTGCATTGCTCACCACCCTGCTCTATTCCTGTTCAGCAGTCCTCCCAGCTGAACTTTAAGTTCCATGGAAGAGCACTGCTGTATCTAGAGCACCTACCACCGTGCAAGGTGCAGAGCAAGGTCTCAGTCAGCACTTGCTGACACATGAAAGAAGGAAGAAAGGAAATAGCCATAGATGTTTCCTCAGACTCAATGCTCTTCATCACTTTATACCCAAACTTTAGGAAGTTCACCTACTGATACTCTTGCGTATCTGCACATGTAGCCCTTACGTCTGTTTTTTTCCTTCCATCGTTTTCTACAGAACATCTATTAAAACTACCATCCAAAGGACTGTTGTTACTCAAACTATATCCTACCCGACTTCCCTATTGCTGTTACTATATAACAACATCCTCCTGTTCTCTAGACTTAAAAATTTTAAATTATTGTTGGTGCCTATCAGTTCTCTGAACAGCGAGCCAGTCACAGATCCCTCCAATATTTGTTCTGTTCACTGACATCCAAAGCTACCATCTAACTAGGTCTCCGTTGACTGAAACCAAGAACACTATACAATAGCTTTATGGCTCATCTCCTTTTAACAACAGTTACCATTTATCGAGCACATACTGTGTACCAAACACTGTACTAAATGCTTTACAGACAGCTCATTTAATTCTTCGAACCACCTGTGAGGAAAAATTTCGCTATACAAATGAGAAGACTAATCAGAAAAATTAAATTACCCAAGTCGCAGAGATAGTTAAGAGGCAGAGCCAGGATACAACCCAGCTCTTTTGACTCCAAGGCCATGTTCTAAACTACTACATATGCTGCCTTTGATAGAATTTGTATCCTGTTATTTTTAACAGCTACTTTTATCACATTATTTCCTCGCTTCTAATTACACAGGGACTCCTCCCTATTGTACTGTATGTAACCTAAATATCTTGGCATCATGACTTTACATTAGCCTCTTCTCTATCAAGTCACTTTAACCCTCATTATCAGAGCTAGTCTATTTAACAGTCAATGATGCTATTTTCCGTGCTAGGATATGTCAAATCATGACTTCCTCTGCCTCAATACTGTCAGAAATCCCTAAAGTCTTCCATGGCTTGCTTTCTTCTCCTTGAAATTCGTTCATTATCTGGCTTCTATGGAATGAAACCATAACATTATAAAGGGGAAAGAGCCTGGGCCTAGACTCTGGTCAAATGGTTTCAATCCTGGTTCTATCAATGAGTACCTGTGTGATCATGCGCAACTTACTTCACTTGTCTAAGTCTCAGTTTCTTTATCTATAAAATGAGAATGATATTACCTGCTATATAGCGATCTTGGTTAGGACTAAATGGAAAGATACGTCATATCTTAATCTTTTATTTATTTATTTTTTCCCCCTTTTTCTCCCCAAAGCCCCCCGGTACACAGTTGTATATTCTAGTTGTGGGTCCTTCTAGTTGTGACATGTGGGACGTCACCTCAGCATGGCCTGTCGAGCGGTGCCATGTCCACGCCCAGGATCCGAAACAGTGAAACCCTGGGCCGCCGAAGTGAGGGCGCAAACCTAACCACAATGGGGCCGCCCCCGATCTTAATCTTAAAAGAAAAGATATGAAGCACAACACCTGGTATATAGCAAGCCTTTGATTCATGCTAACTGCTCTATCACTATCATTATAATAATCTTCCTTTCTTTCTAGTAGCTGTTTCCATTATCAGTTTTCCTTTCTCCTCCTTAAACACAAAAATTCTAAATTCTATCTGTCACAGCTTCAATTATCACCTCTGAAAAGGATTCCTTCATCTGTTTTTAAGCCCAATCATTCTCCCAACATCAGATCCATATTTCTAACCGCTTGCTGAATTTCTTTCTGTAAAATTAAAATACCCAAATTTGCAAATCTTATGCCCTTCCTGCACACCAATGAGCTTCTCGTCTTAATAACCAAATTTCTGATACTGGAAAACTCGCTTTCCAGACACTAAGACTTAAGCTCTTGGCATCATCTTTGACTTTCTACTCTGTCTTCCAATCAGGTAAATTGTGCTAGAATCTACCAAATATAGAATCTACCAAAACTACGTCTTTTAAAAGAATCTTCTTGTCATGTGTTCACGGCTACCACTTAAGTTCCGGTCCTTATCACTTGAAATTACCTCTAAAATGAGCCCTCCTCTGTTCTTCAACTAAAGTCAACACTTTCTGACTTCATGCCTCTTTGCTATAATCATTCTATATTCATTATATTTACAACATCCTCTGTGCCCTACTTTCCTAAATCACAACCAATTCCTCAGAGGTCCATCTCAAATACCTCCTCTTCTATGACACCTTTCCGAAGTCCTATTAAATAAATGTCCTTTCCCCTCCTGAGTACTCTGTATGGTTCTCTTCAGCACTCTTACTATTAGGAAGTAAATGTTATGTTTATAGTTTTTCTTCCCTATTACTAAATCGCAAGCTCTCTGAGGGAAAGACCTATGTTTTATTTATATCTATAAATCTCTTGAATACAGGAGGTCCCGAGCACTATATATGATTATTCACTCATCTATACTTAGTCCTGTGAGCATATATAAAATATTTACTTTGTGTAATATTATTTTATACTTATTTTTATCATCTCAACTCATCTACAAGCTATGTTAGCACTGTTTGCCTCATCTATTCTCATGCAGTCTAGTACCAACTCCTCTATGAAGGTGGTACGCATTTAGTACAATACCACGAAGATATTTAATAACATTTGATGGTTATGGAGACATATTAAGAAAAACACAAATCTGAAAGACCCTATGTATCAAATTTCATTCAGAATAAAACTGACACATTAAAGAAAGCAAAACTTAGAATAAAGTAACCATTACTGATCCTTAAAACTTTTAGGTCAAGTATATTAGAGTCAAAATAAAAATCTTGCTCATATTTTATTTGATCTTAAGATAGATTTCTCATGAAGCTAACATCATTTGTTTAGTATCACAAAGAAAAAAAAAAGTAACATAAGAAGCTGGAAAATGACTATCACTTTTAAACACCTAGAAAGTTATGCAAAAATTTCCTGTGATTTCTTTTCTTAACTGAATAAATTACTGGGTCTTCCTGGGAATAACATTTCAAATGTGTTCTTACATTCGAGGGCATGTTAAATTTTTTAAGTTATCCTTAAAGTTCTCCCCCAAAAGTCACTCCCAATGGAAAGAAATTAATACTAAAAGGAGGAAAAGAACGGTAGTTTTATAAGGAAAAGTAAAAGAAATTATTCCCAATTTCTTCTGAGGAAGAGAATTGTTGGCAATTAACAAAAAAGGACCTAAAAGTTTTAGTTTTTAATTAAGAAAAAGAAGAATCTTATATATAACATATTAAAAAAAGAGATGCTCTAATCTCAAAAATTGCACTGGAGATTCAAATGCATACATCTGAACATAACAGTTATTGCCAAATACGCAAACTTGTAAAGAATCAAGGGAAAAAAGACATAAAAAGAATAATCCATCATCAGCTATAAACTACATACCTGTTTAAGTCTGGCAAGTTCCTTCAAAGCTCGTCCCCACTGCTGCTTGTAATGCAGTTTAGACTTAGTTGCAGACTCCAACTTTCTTTCAAGTTCAACCTAACAGTGATTAAAATCATATCAAGTGAAACACTATACCACTGTGTACAATCACTGAAAGATAATATATACAAAGAGTCTGGCTTAAGAAAAGAGTTTATATAGTGTAACATACGACATCATTTAAAACTGTTATATAATTTACTATAAATATTATGGCACATGAACATTTTCTTGTTTAAAATATAGTCGTATTTTTACTGCCTAACAGCCTATGCTAAAAGAAACTGAATTAGTCTTAACCTCCAGACAGTTACTATAAATGTATTTAAAACATGTATATTACATAAAGATCATAGAATGAAAAATACATTCATTTTTTTACAAAAAGCAGTTCTAACTGTTAGCATTCCAATTTAGCTGGCACTCTAAATCTTGGAAACAAAATTATTCCTTTTGGAGGCCTATCATTATGTGGAATTTTGTCTTAAAAAGAAGAGAACTAGTAGAGATACTTTCAAAACTCTATTTTGGCAAAAATCATAGAATGTTGAAAAGAGTGAAATGTTTTATCAGAAAGCAGTTTACTAGGAAAGAGTACAAAGTAAAAAATATTTTAAGAATGTTAAAATAAACCCAAGAATAAGAAAAATAATGCTCCTAATAACACTCATCTAACTTTTATTTTCTATTTTTCCTCAAATATATGAAGAAAAACATGAAAGTGATTCAATTAAAAAAATACGGTTATTTATACTTGCAGCAGGCAATCTGTTTGCATGAACTGAGGCCAACTTGGCTATGTTTTGGAATGTACTCTTTCAACGTTTCAAACTAAGTACCAAACAAATTCATGCAGCCAACAGAAAGTTTTACTATTTAAGTGATAATGTAATAATGTGCCTGAATTATAGTAAAATACTGTTATTCTAAACTGGTCTAATTTTTTTATATCAAGTCTACTTGATACAACTCCCAATGTTTTGCAGGAAAATAAAAACAAAGACATTATCCAAAAATTCAAACTTCAGAAAACTCATATGAAAATAAATGAAAAGAAAAGCAGATTGCCAAATTCCTTTCACAGAAGACCAGAACATTCTCTGCAGTAATATATGACTTCATGGAGTCAAGGTCTTTTCTGCTTTACAAATCCCTAGTGCTTGGATTTAAATGTGTTGACATTTCACAACTAGACTCATACGTCTTAAATTGAATAATACTCTGAGATTATCAAAGATGATCTCTTCCACTTACACCCCAAGGATTTATACACATTACTTGGTAATTTAACAATAGGACATATGTCAGAGGAATAGGAAAAATCTTTTTCTAGCTGTGAGGTAAAAGAGTAGTATTCAGTTACAAAAGTGATCATGTCCATGGGTCTTGAAGAAAGTCTATTATTCTGGACGAGCCCAAGGATGAGGGTTAGGACAGGGACGAACCTAGAGAGGTTGCTTATACCCAAAGAACTCACTCCATCAGAAAAAGCTATCTGGCAGTTACATCAGTTTTGCCATGATTATCAAAATAATTCACAACTGTACAGTTATTCACACTAATTTAAAACATACGTATAGGCAATACATATAGTTTCTTTATTCTTAATAAATAAAAAACTGTAGCTATCAAATCTGAGAGACAAACCTCATTTTTCTAATTGATTCCTATTACCAAATCAATGAGTTCCAATTTTCTTATTTTTTTAAGGATATAGATGTTTCCATATCACTTCCTATAGTGAGTCCAAAGAAATATATGAACCCAATTCCCAGAAAAATGCACACAACCAAAGTTTTGATGTAATTTCAGGGCACTCAAAGACTCTGAGTTATGAGCACTTATTGTAAACAGATTTGAGACATGGGGAAGCCTTGGCACTTATATCATAAGCCAATTTATAGATGAAACAAAAACTCGGCTCAGGACCTAGAGTCGATTTAGAGGCTAGTGAAGACTGAAAGCACAGACTAGCGTTCACTGGTTCTCAATTTCCCTGTTTCTCCCCTCGATACACCTACAACTCTAATTCTCTACTAGAGGTTTGGCATTGTCTTCATCTCTAATCCCCTATTCCCCAGTGCTAATCTTCGCAAGGAACTATTGATTTCTCTGTTGAAATACTTTCTAGTTTTATTCCTTTACACATCTACTGCCATTTCCTTAGCTCAGGCTCTCCTCATCTTCTCTTGTCTCCTGGGCCTCAAACCTATTCTATCTACAAATTCTACAAACCACTATTAGATCAATTCACTCTCTACTAAAAAAATCTACAATAGCTACTTCTTGCCTATAGTACTGAGCCTAAACTCCTCTGCCTAGGTGTCAGAGCACTCCAAATAGAACTTTCATCCGACTTACTCAACCTACTTTCTCGGTATTCCTCAACAGGAAACCCTCTACTCCAACCACCAGGATGGTGTACCCAACACCCTCCTCATTGCCCAAACTACTTCCTAAGCCTGTCATGTTTCAATTTCTTCTCTTCTTACTTGAAACTTCAGGCTCAGCTCAAATTTCACCTCTACATGGAGCTGTCTTAAAACTACCATATTCTGAACAATGATTTCTCTTTTCTGAGTTACAAAAAGTTTCTATCATATTTCCTGGTATTTGATTATGCACAGTCATTTCAAGCTCTCTGAGTCATCTCTCCAATTATATTATGAACTCTTTAAAAGTGAGGTCTCAAAAGGATAATGTACTTTTGCTTTTACTCTCTTTTCTTTCTCCTCATCTTTCCCTGTATCTTAATGTTAACTTATTTCTGGACCATTTCAGTATAAATGGGAGTATCTGTGTTATACTGAAGAGAATGGGTAATTAGAAAAGAAAAAAAAAGCTCTCAATCAGACAAACCGGAAATTACAGACTAAATCAGATACTTTTTCACTTACATCTTCCTTTTGTGCTTTTATGTCTTTGTTACAACTTAAGAAATAAGCTTCTGCCCTCTTCTGGCTCCAAAAAAATTTACAAAGAATTTTCAGAAGAGCTGAGAAGCCCTTGTTTCCTAGGCACTTAAACATGCTGAATGAATTCATTCGGTCAGACACACAGGTACTTCAGTTGTGTGGTTTTTTTCTCTCTCTCTCGACAAGCTCCTGGTACTATTTATACTTTTAAAATATGTTTAGTGATTTTTATCCTTTGGTAGAAGTGTAGTTAAAAGAAGGAATTTTAAAAGTCACTTTATTTCTATGGTGGATATTATCTAGCCTCTATTCAGAAAAAGATGAATAAGATAATGCTTCTGTTCCAATTTTGAGATATTTTTTCTCTGAATTCCCTCAAGGTAAAAGGGAAATACTCTTTGACTCCTACTGAATGGAGCTGTGAGAATCAATGAGTTAGCCACTGTCTGAGTGCTTCAACCATCTCTGGTAGGTACCACAGAATTCATATTTATAAACACAGAAATACTTTAATACCTGGTTTTGTAAAAAAAAAAAAAAAAAGCGGTGGGAAATGTCCAACTAGATTAAAGTTTGCTGGCAGAGAAATGCGGAGAAGGCCAAAAATGGCGAAATGAAGAGATTGTCCACATATGTACGAAGCAGAATCAACATGATTTTGCAAATAAATAGATGTGGTGGTAAGAAGAGGAACCAAAGATATCAAGGCAACTGACAGGCAACAGAAACATTTAAATAGCTCAGAGACACTAGAAGAAACCAGTTAATTAATATCCTTCTCAACTCAAAAGACTTTTTTTACCACGCTCTTATTCTTGCCTCCAAATGTTTTATATATTCACCCGTTTTGCCTCTTAAACAGTGTTCCTTCTTTCAAAGACTAACTCTTCTAGGCTTCAATCATCCCCTCCTCTCTTAAAGCTCTAGTTTCTCCTTGGTATTTTTTTTTTTAAAGATTGGCACCTGAGCTAACATCTGTGGCCAATCTTTTTGTTTTTTCCCTTCATCTCCCCCTCAAAGTCTCCCAGTACATAGTTGTATATTCTAGCTGTAGGTCCCTATGGTTGTGCTATGTAGGACACCGCCTCAGCATGGCTTGATGAGCAGTGCCATATCCGAACCTAGGATCCAAACCGGTGAAACCCTGGGCCATCGAAGCGGAGCACGCGAACTTAACCACTTGGCCCCGGGGCCGGCCCCCTAGTTTCTCATTCTTGAAACTCCTCCTTTTCCCTTGGGCACCACACTAGACTGTTTCTATTACTTCTCTAAAACTTTTTAGCCTCCTTCCTTGACTCTTGCTTTTTGTCCATGAAGGTGAACTTTCCCATTAAGTTGTTATTTTCAGTTGTCCTTCCTAAATACTCCTTAAGCAATTTCATCTACTTCTAAGGCTGTTACTTTATTCAAATGACTCCTAAATTTGTAAGTATAGCCCTTTTCTCTCTTCCTACTACGTTTTCTCATTTTTCACCACATAGCGAACTTTTCCACTTAGATTATTCTGCTAGCATCTCAAAAGTAATAGATCTAATAATCTTATAAACTTGAGAGTAATCTGACTTTTCTTACTGGATGAAATACGAATTCTGTAACTTAGCATCTAAGGTCTTCCCTCATATGGCCGAAAATTACCTTTATTTCCAGCATTCTCTTATCAGGCCCATTTTTATTTTGAAACTACTATACTGATTAAACTCTAGGTTCTAGTCAAGATGTTATCCAAATATACAATAGACTTTTTAACCTCTGTACTTCTGTCCAATACTTCTTCTTGGAATAACCTCAGTCACATATTTACCTAGTTAAAATTTCATCTATCCTTTAGGTTTCATATCCAATCTCACTTCTTCATTATACTTAATGTGTTGATTTCAGTAAAAGTGACTTTCCTTTCCTTTTGCATTCACAGTGTTTAGTAAGAGAAAGTTAGATTAGACCTGCTATCATTTGCCTTTCACTATAATTATTTAAGTTCCTTGTCTCCTTTTGTAACTTGTTATTTACTTGACTCTATCCTGAACATTTTTGAATCATTCATAATAGCATTTAGCACAGTGTTATAAATAGTACGTATCTTTGCTGGATAATGAAAAACCAACTGTATCAATCAGCATCATGACAGGAAAACAGAAATCACTCTAGGTCTTTCCAACAGAGGTATTTTAATACAAGCGACTGGTTATATAAATAATGGAAGAGCAGAAATGCCAAAGAAGATATGGTGAGGCAACCCAGTGATTAGCAGCAGCAGGAATCCCTACCTCTCCTGGGTAGGAGGGATTACAAAAGGAAATACCAGGAAGTAGCAGTTCCTGACCAGGAACCCAGAAACTGGGGTTATCCAGTAAGCTAGAACCACAGTGAGGATTGCCCAAAGGAAGATAGAGACAGGGGCTGTCTGGTGGGAGACAGAAACATAAAAAGATGGTATTTTGTACTACCAGAGAACATAAGGGAAGCAGAGAGAGAAAGAGACAGAGAGAGAGAAGAAAGAACTACCCTGGCATCTTCCCAACTCTCACCCACCTCACTTCTGTTAGTGCCCCCTAGTGGCTGAATCTACAGAAGAGAAAGGGCAAGGAAGCCTTCATACAAAGCTAAGTGGGAAAAGACAGGCAAGGGCTGACACAACAATTAAATCCTTAAACTTCTCAAGGTTATTTTCCTGTTTATTATCTATGTTATTTTGCAGTGTATGCTATATCTTTTTAATAATGCCTAAACATTAACAAACTACAAAATGCAAGAGCACATATTGTCAAACTTTGTCTGTTGGACATTACACATTTTTTAATGCCTAGAACCTGAACATTCTGTTTGTGGGAACTGCCAACATAAATGAGAAGCAGGACCTGGCTTCCAATGATAATTAAAATAGGATGGAGATCTCTTCTTCCAAGCTAAGAGTAGGGTACAGGCCTACGATTAAAATGCTCCTATCTGGGATGCTGAATCTAAAGAGTAAGTAAAATGCAAAGAGAATATGCACAATAGCTATTGCAAAACTGAGAGTTCAACAGTATGACACTAGAATCAGGGGACACTGAATCCACTGGCATAGCAGTGATGGCACCAACAGTAGCACACTGACTGTTTTGTGACAGGATAGGCAATGTCTTGCTTCCCTGGTTCCTGCCCATATTTTGAAACTGGTTCTTCAGCCTTCCTGACAGTTTTGTGAGCCCCTTTATTCCCAGTTAATCAGTTCTGTTGTTTGCAAACAAGGACCCTAATTAGTATAAGCTATTACTGATAAAAGCCAAGAAATTCAAGTACTGACAATGTCATGTGCCTTGAATTCTCTGATGTGTTCTTACTTGGTATCAGAATAGTACAGTGAAATATTATTATATTGTATATGCAAGTATCATTTATTGATTTTATAAATTGATCATTAAGACTAGCTAAGTTCATGGGGCTGGCCCCGTGGCCAAGTAGTTAAGTTCGCGTGCTTCGCTGCGGAGGCCCAAGGTTTCACTGGTTTGGATCTTGGCCGCGGACATGGCACCGCTCGTCGGGCCACGGTGAGGCGGCATCCCACATGCCACAAATTGAGGCACTCACAACTAGAATATACAACTATATACTGGGAAGATTTGGGGGAGATAAAGCAGAAAAAAAAAACACTCGTGGTAAATCCTTAAAAAAAAGACTAGTTAAGTTGCCACAAATTGACATGGGTCAACTGACAAGGGTCTTACCTTTTCCAAGGTGAGAAGATTTATTTCAGATTGTAGACGGATTTCTGGTTTGTTGCTTTGCTGATCCTTGAACTGATGGAACTCTTTTTCTAAAATTTTATACTTATTTTCAGCATCATTAAGCTGTGTTAAAAAAAAATTATAGCCATTTTAAAACAATAGTATGCAAAATTTAATATTACAGAATTCAAGAGTCAATTTTTTCTTATTCTAAAGCATGCTCATAGCAGAAAAATTAGAAAATACATAAAGTAAATGAGGAAATCCTAAAAGTTTAGCAAACGAACTGATAATATACAAAAAATTTTAATTTAAGAGTATGAAATTTCTTATAAAATCAGTATCATGAGAACATTTCTGTTAAATTTTAGATGGTAAATGAAAAAGTCACCTCGCAATATAATACTTTATACTTTTCTTAAGATGTCATATACAAGAAAGGATAGAGCATTATAGATATACCAGATTATTAGCAATAAAAACGTTTCATTTTAATGCAGTATTTATTCTTATAATTTGATACTGTATGAGTTTCATAATTCAAATACTATTACAACTTAAGACAATTTAAAGATGATTTGGCCCAATCTCTTCATATTTATAGGTAAGAAAATTGAGGGTCAAAGAGGTAAATAACTGAGGCACTGCCAAATAGCTAGTGAGTTAGTCAGCAGCAGAGGCACGAAGAGAATTTAGATCTTTTCATCCCCTAGAATAACGCTCTAATGAAAGCAGGCAACACTTGCTCAAATTAAAAACAAAAAAATAGAGACAGACTGCTATGACTACACACTCTATAATTTCCATTAAAATAGTTTCAAAGTACCAAAAAAAGGGGAAAATATAAAGATGTTCTTTTCTTTTATCAAATACAAACAAGTACTGTTAAAAGATGCTCTCCAAAAACATACCAATATGACTATGCATCACTTACATAAACCAATTACCTCTTTACTAAGACAGAAGACTTAACTAAATTTGAAATACTGAGAAAATTTGTGGCAAAAATGGAACTTAAATTATCAATAATAATAAATTCTTGTTTTATGCCAATAAATACAAATAATTCTAATCAGGATTTATCTAACATCTTTAGGCAATGAGGTATTCCATATCTCAAACATAAAAACATTCCATACAACTAAACTTTACCTCTTTGAACATCCAAACTTTTATTTTTAAAGTTGAGTAGAAACCTGTCTAAACAATCTCTCTCTCTTTTCTGTTTTAAACAAAAGCTGATAAACTTAACATTTGGTATTTTTTCCACCATTCAGGGAAATTATTATGAACAAGTATTATAGTTACAATCAGGCTGTAAAGTTATTAGGCATACTGGGCTCTTTCTCTTTTGCTAAGTGGCCATCAGCTATGCTTATTTTTTGAGTTCTGGTAACTGCTTTAACATATTTGAATACAGATACTTTCTCTTTATCAGTTTTCCCTGATGGTATGTCTATCTGTCCCTTCTACCTGTCTACTTAGACATGTGTGTACAGTACCTGTAACCTGGTTCAGAGCAAGGACCTTAAAAGTTTTCTTACACAGAAAATGTGAAATGTTTATAGTCACAGGCTTAGCAATTTGGGTATCCCAGAAACTTCCACTGTCCCCACACCACCACAGTTTTTGTTCCAGGTCTTAGATTATGTTTTAGCAGCGCCCTGGGTAATTTTTCCAAAATATCAGTTCTTCCTACAAAGGTTCTTCCCACAAAGATGTAAGCTGAGGCTGGGGACAGAGAGAGGGGATTTTTCTAAGAGCTGCCCTGGTGATGTTGGAAGTCTTTGTTCTAGACGGCTGAATCTTTCTAAGTGGAAGAAGAAAAGCCATTACTGGTGATTTCCATCACAACTGCCACTTCTACAACTTTATTTTCCATATTTTAAGTGAGACCTCTATAATAACAATCAAATTCATACTGCCAACCACCTAAATAATGTGCCTTAACTGACCCTGAACTGCTGTGGAAACTATTATTCATGCTAGAATTTACTGAAGACTTTGGAGGCATTCACCATACATATCTAACCTACACTGAAATTTTTCAAGAAAGACAGGCTTAATTTTTAATAGCTTGATCCTTCTTTTTTTCAACAAATATTTATTAAAACCCTATTATATGTTGAAGACTGGCTAGGGTCCAGGCACACAGATATAAATGAAAACAGTTTTATGGAGCTAACAATCTGACACTGATCAAATTATCACTCAAAGAAATAAAAACAAACTGCTATGACATATCATAAAGAAAAAGAATAGGAGAATACTATCCCATGAAAACATATAAAAAAAACTTGACCTAGACTTGGGGAGGAGTCAGGGAATATTTCTTGGGGTAAGTGATGCTTCAGCCGAAAACTCAAGGATAAGTATAGTTCACTAGGCCCAGAAAAAGTAGCACACACAAAGATCCTATGGGTGAAGCAAGCACGGTATGCTTGCGGATCTGAAGGAAAACGAGCATGGGTGGAGAGTATACAGCAGAGGTGAAAGACTGGGAGATGAAGTGTGAGACGTATGCTGGGTCCAAACTATGCAGAGGCTTGTAGGGCAAGGTAATGATTTGATCTTTAGCCTATGAGCACTAAGGCGACATTGAAAGGTTTTAGAGGAGGGAGTCATGATTCCCAAATTTCAAAAACATCACTCTGGCTGCAGCAGGACAAACAGATTAGAGGGGTCCATTACTGAAATAAAAAACACTTACAGGAAGGTCAGGTATGAATAGGAGGATCATGTTAGGTTGTAAATGCCTTTAAGACATCCAAGCAGAGACGTCAAAAAGGCAATTAGATACAGGGGTCTAGAGTGCAAAGGAAAGGTCTGGGATATAAATGTGAAGTCATGGGAATGAATGAGACTGTTTAGTACAGAGTAAGTCTGGAGCTTGGAGGAAGTCTAACATTTAATGGCTAAAGGAAAATAAGCCTGCAAAAGAGCCTCAGGGACGGCCAGAAAAGCAGAGGAAAACAAGGAGAGTGGTGTTACAGAAGTTGAGAGAAGAGAATATAGAAAAACAAGTACAATAAGTTTGAGTAAGATGAGAAATGAAAAACACCCAGTGAACTCGGTGACTTAGCCATTGGCAGCTTCTCCAACAACTGGGGCAGGCGGGAGTAATGGGGACAAAAGCAGAGTGGGAATGGTTGTGAGGTGAGTGTAAGGTGAGGAAATGGAGGGAAGCATAGACAATTCTCTCATGAAATTTGGTTCTTAAAGGAATTTAGTCCAGTGATACAAGAAATATATCTATGTTTACTAAAAGATTTATCAGAAAAGGATTTTAAGTTGAGAGTTATCTGAAATACAGTACAATCTCACGTAAACAATTATAAGGGAAGGAAAATTATTCCAATATAGTGTTAGCTTTGATTAGGAAAAGATCCAACTTAAAGTATATTTGAATCTCAGTGCAATAAATATGATTAATAGTCCAAATTACTGAGAATTTTTAGAACTTTTTAGTGAACTATCACTATTATTTCCAGAATGCAAATAAACCCTAAGTGTAAAGAGATGACAGGTATTTTTTCTAACCTGCTGGTGAAGTCGGTGTTTTTCCTCTTCTAGCTGCTTGATCTTTAACCTTTCTAGTTCTACTTGGTGAACACAATCTTCTTTGGCCCTGCGAATAGAGTCCTGAAGTTCTTGTAGGTTCCGCTCACGTTCTGATTTTAGCTCCTTTCTTTCTCTTTGAAGCTTAAAACAAGTGCATTTTTAAGATGTTGGCCTATTACTATTTGTATTATACTGTTCAGTATTCTATTATTCTCATACACAGTCAAATGTTCAGAATATTTACAAGTTTATCTCTTTCAGTTACTAAACATTTAAGTACACTGAATTATAAATTTTAATCCATCATCATTTAATTCTAAATACAAAGAATATACAAAAATCCATATACAACTTCTATAAATTCATTTGAAAAGGCCCTAATCACTTAAAATTCCGGTTTGAATAAAACCAATTTTATTACATAAGCAAATTTTAGAAACTTCTTATGTTCTGCCAATCACATAGAAGATGACAGTCTTACTATTAGGAACAAATATCCATTATATTTAAGTTTAAACATCTAAATCAATTTAGAAATGCCAGAAAATGCATAAAGAAAAGGGTAGGGCGATACGCTGAGAAAATTTTTTTAGAAATGCATTTGAGTAGGGAAGGGATATATAAATTTAATGTGGCAGAAATTCTGATTATTTTGAAATGGAAGGGACATACAAATTTAATGTGGAAGAAATCCTAACTATTTTGAAATGAACTTTATAGTAATTTTAAAAAGTATTCAGGGTAAAATTTCAAAAGACTTAACAAAAAATGCTAACTAGGCATATTACTAACATAAGTTTTCATCTGTTTTTGGAATCTAATCTTTAATGGGCAAGAAAAAGAAATATGTCCTTCTTACTGAAAACAAAATCAGGATTCTAGGCCCCTGAGCCTGTGCTACTTTTTCTCTTTTCTCTAAGTAGTGCAACTATCCATTCCTTTCACATAATGGGAAAGTTAAGCAATAATCTTCACTATCACAGAAGTCAGCCAAAGCTGGTTGCATAATAGCCATTTCAAATAACAAACACTATCCTACCTCTTTCTCACATTCTAACATAGAAAATACACTTTTTTCAGCTGAACAGCAGTTTTCTCCATAATGTCTGAAAGAATTTCCATGAAATATATTTAATATAAGAATAAAGGAAAAAGAAATGAATGGTATGAACTTAAATTATGGATTCTGTGAAATGAAGATACATGATAGATGAATACAGTACCTCTGATTCTGCAATGACAAGCTGCTGCTCTCGCTTCTCTAAGTCAATTAGGGTCTTTTGAAGTTTTCCTTCTAGAATAGTATATTCAGCTACCTAAAAAATAACAAAAGAAAAGTTACCTTATCTTTTCCTCAAATTCAAAACACACAAATTCAAAAATGCACATATTATAATTTCACTGAAACAGAGGATCTGAGAATAAGAATTACACCCACCAATTCAAAGCAGAAGTTCTTTCTACTGTACTCTCAGGAAGGAAGACTGTCCAGCTTCTGCTTGGCTATCTCTAGTAATATTCAGTCTCCTGAAAGCCCATTGTCCCACTGGGTGGTTAGACCACTAGGAAAATCTTGTGTTGAGTCAAAACCTAGCTCCTTAAAATCTGCTTTGCTCAATACTCCAGTACTCCTCTCAATCCCTTTTCGTCACTTATGCTCTTTCCCTGGAACTAATCTTGTTGCTAGATCAGCTAGTCAGTTTCAAGTCAGTCCTCATATTGGCTCAGATCTGACCCTTTATTACAGTTCCAATAACTGAGTCCTTCATTGCTTCTGAAGCCAGAGTCCCTGCTTGGGCCCTTAGCCCAGTACCCCAATTTCTATCAGCAGTCCTGCTCTGATCTGTCTGTAAGGATGTCTCATTCAGGATAAGAGGTCTACCTGCTCAGCCTGTACAGGATGTAGGACTTCCATAGTTTTCTATCTTTCAGTTTAGACTGATCACTCTTACCAGGACTTTCTGAACCAATTTTTCCGTCCTCTTCACCAACTAGCCTCCAGGTCCCAGGCCCCATCCTGACTGTCTCTTCCCTACTGCTGAGAAAGCCCTGGTTTGATGCTCCTTAGAAGCCCACCCTTTAATACTATTGCTACTCCTTGGACAAAGAAAAAAAAATGTATCTTCACATATTTGAGTCTGGTGATAGCCATTATATCTTCTCCTAGTCTTTTTTCTTCTCCAAGATAAATGTAAGTTTCAACTATTATTCACACATTAAGATTTCTATATCTTATCTCAGATTTAATCTAGAGTCTAGATTCTAGACTAACTTCTTCCAAAAATATGGTACCCAGATGTGACTTCATCAGTACAGGGACCAAAGAATATGTACTGCCAAAGACTAGGGCACCACATATCTTTTAAATTAGTCTAAAATTACATTTGCTACTTCAGAATCCTAGTCACACTGTTATGTCAAAGAAAATCTCTAAGGTTTTTGTTTTTAAACCTGGGATAACCATACCCATTGCCCAAGTGACTGTTTTAACCTGACAACAGAATTTGACATTTGACCTTGTTAAACTTCACTTTCATGATTTAAGCCCAGCATAGCAACCAATCAAAATTATTTATAAATTGTTAATGCTACCATCTAGTTTTGGTTCATCTAAAGATATGTTAAGCATGCCTTCCTTCCTTTACCAAATCACTAATATAAATGTGTCAAATTCTGAGGGCCACATATAAAAAAGTCTTACAGAAAGAGACAGGCAAACAGGATGGTGAGGGATATTCAAACTGTGTGTTCTTCCTCCTCTGCCAACCCAAACACCTGTGTTCCAAGAGCTCTGTCTAAGGATGTCTTTTCTTGTCATACTATATGAGCTCCTTGGGTGATCTCATCTACCTACTATCACATATACTAAGAACTCCCAAATTTATATTGCAAGGTCAAACCTCCCTCCAGAGTTTCAGACCTATAAACCCAAATACCTGCTGAATATGCCAATATTCCCCACATATCTCGAACTCAAAAATGTATAAAAACCTGAAATCACAATCCTTCTGGTTTTCACAAATATTTATTGTATACTTAGCTGACCCTGGGCAAAACAAAGTCCTGTGGAACCTATATTCTGAGGGACGATAGACTATAAACAAAGAATTGGGTATTTAATGCAATAACAGGTAAATGCTATGAAGAAAATAAAGCAGAATGAGGGGACAGTTAGTGCCTGGGGGTGGGGGAAGAGGGCACTACTTTGGATACAGTGATCAGAGAAGGCCTCACTCAGATTATTCTGAGCAGAGATCAGAGATCAGAAACTATCTCTGAAAGAAGAGCCTTCTATATATCCTGAGGAGGGAAGTGGCCTAGTACGTTTGAGGAACTACAAGGAGGCCAGTGTGGTTTAGAACAGGCTGTGTAAACAGAAGTCTGACAGAAAATGAGGTCATAGAGGAAGGTAGGGGACAGATCATTTTAAGGCCTTGTAGGTCCAGTAAGAACTTCAAGTTTTATTCTAAATGTGATGAGCAGTATGATGGGTTTTGAGCAGAGGAGTACATAATCTGACTTATATTTTAAAAGCCTCACTCTTGGCTGATATGGATATAATAAGCTACAGGGGCCAGGAATGAAGGAAGGGATACCAAGTTAAGAAGTAACAGCAGTAATCTAGGAGAGAGATCATGATTGCTTAAACTAGTGAAGTAGCAATGGAAGTGGTTGAAAGTGGTTAGTTTCCAGGATACATTCTGAATGTGGAGCCCAGAGGATTTACTAATGAACTAGAATGTGGAATGAAACAGTAAAGGACGACTTAGCTTACAGCCTGAACAACTGAGTAAAAGGTATTGCTATTTATTAAGATGGGGAATCAATAGGAGCAAATGTATGTAGGATGGAGACAGTTTCTTTTTATACAAATTACATTTGAGAAGCACATTAGACAGCCAATTGGCAGTGTAGTATAGGCAGGTGAATAGCCAAGTGAAGAGTCCAGGGAAGAGGAAGTAGACAGACATTTTATATATGTGTGTGTGTGTGTGTTTACAATCTATATATCACTTGTATATAATGGCAAGAGAACAGATGAGATCACCCGAAGAGCAAATGTGAAAAGATATTCAAATTCTGGCCCTTGGGGAAAGCCAATAAAGCCAGTAGAAGTTGGGATAAAGAGAAGAATCTAGTATGAAAACTGGGAAGGAGAGACCAGCAAAGATAGTAGAAGACCAGGATAGTATAGTAAAGAAAGTCAAGCAGAGGAAATGTTTTAGAAAGGGAGAAAGCAAATTGAGTGAGGATGAGGGAGAATCATTTGATAAGAGAAAAGCAGTGTGAATGAATTATTCTGGAGAGTATGAGAATTAATTGATTAGGGAAAGCAGTAGGGTCATAGGGTAGCACTGAAGGTCCCTTAAGGCTTGAGATCTTAAACCTCCTTAACATCATTTCTTTAGCACCCATTCCCCTTTTCTCCATGATCTTATCACTACTGTTAGTTTTCAGCCATCGTTTTCTTTATACATATTATTGCTTTCCTGGTCTCCCTGACTTTAGTTTCACATTCCTCTACTCCACCCACTATACTTCCATCAGAATAATTATTCTAAAATGAAAATCTGATTTCCTTATTCCCTTATATAAAAATCTTCATTAAAAAAATAGTTTCTCAAGTTTCTATCGTTCTCCAAGCAGGGTTTATCATCTGAACCACAGAAAATGTAAAATAATATGAGTGATTATTTTCTCTATCTTCTCCTAAAATGGTACATAACTCTACTACTGTTGATGCATAGAAGGGAGTTCATCTACTACCAACAACGGATGCCTTTGGGCAGTAAGGCTTAATTCTCTCAGGAAACCCTAGCTGAGAAAGTCTACAGGATCAAGTCTAAACTCCTCAAAATAGAATACAAAAGCAGTCACATTCTGTTGACCCCTCCTATCTTATTTCGTGAGGCACACCCTCACCTCCCCTCTTCTCACACCAAGCTACATACAATTTTCTTCATGTCTAGCCTATTTCCAACTTTGTTTGGGTCCACCTGGCAATACCTTCTAATCTTTACCAAAGTGAAAGCATGGTCTTATCTATGAAACACTTCCTCATGCTCCCTTATATAGAACTGATGTCTTCATTCTTTGTGGGTACATGACAGCTATGTTCAGCTTTCTGAAGGGAAGTCATAAGGAAGATAGAATAAACTTTATCTCAGCTATTCAGAAGGCAGAACAGGATCAGAATGTTGTAATCATAAATCAGTTTAAGATAAATTCATTAGTTAACAATCATTGGGTTTAGCAGGATCATCCATACAACCAGGTCATTATAAAAAGCAAACCGTAAAAGGAGAAAAAAATTACCAATACACTGGTTTCTGGAAATAAAGGTTTGGTATAGTTGTAAATATTTCACTCCACCCCAGAGGCCCCAAATGAATGTTATAATAATATCCACTTCAAAGTTAACCAAGGCTTCATTTATTTGGGAAAAAATTTATGTATAACTCAAGAGGATGCATGATTTTATCAAACAGAAAAATTTACACAAAAACAATCTGCTCTTTTTCAGGACACAGAATAATCCCTCCAAAATGGTCTCAAAAGGGGACCCAAAAAGCCTGATAGATTAAAAAACCAAATCAGTCACAATGAGATACATATATAACTTTCGGTGCAGATCATATGCATGAAGTATTCATTTACTATTACGAAATTCACTTCAGTTCTAACTTGACATAATTTATCTACTCTATAGACTAGTTCACCATTTCACCTTGAAGTGATAGGCTATTAACTAGTTAATATCTTTTTGAAGGTAGGACAAAGCTCCTCATAATAAATAGAAAGCTTTAATTTACGATTAGCTCATTATTTTGTGCAGAATAGCAGAAATAAAAATAAAATGATTGCATAATGTTCCACCAGTATTACACAGACTCCTTCAGGTAACTTTCAAAGTATTGAAGAAATCACACATTATTTTAAAAAAGCTTTAGATGAATAAAACAAGAATAAATTAGCAGAAAAGCCTCATACATTATACACATAAAAAACACTGTGAGATTCTCACAGCACTCAGCTCTAAAAGATTTCATCATATTGAGGAAAAACTGCTTTTTTTCTTCCCAATGACTCAATTTTACAGTGGCTTATAAAATTTTTAAAACCCGATCACACATTAGCACATCTTAGTTCACAATATTCTTTCAAGATAGGATACATTAAGATGAATGAGTTGTTACTCTCAAAATGTACTTAGGTTGAAAGAAAATGGCAAACTCAAATCTACCTTTTTGACATGACTAATTCAAATAAATAGTTCAGCCAAGTAGATAAGCATCATATTCCATTTTCTGACTGGAGTTATTTTCAACTACTCAGGATCTTGTCAATTTGAGCTGAAATGGTGGAAGAAGTTGTAAACATGGAAACCAACTAAAAATTTTCAACTGGAGAGATGATTACTACCAAAATGACAACCAACAAAAATTTATTTGATGAGGTTTGTTTTTCAACTCATTACACTTAAACTGATTTTTTTCTTTTTTTTGGGCAATAAAAAGTTCAATTATGGCATAAGTTATATTTGTCACAATTCTAGTAATTTTATTAACTTTTCATGATTTGAATTTTGCAAACCTCAACAAAAACTCTTCAATGGCATGAAAAAATGGTTCAAGGATAAACTAATCTTATTTTAAAAGCTAAATAAAAGATTAAAATATTTTCTAGCTCACTCAGATTCAATTAATATATGATACTTGAGAACTGTAAATATAACTTTTATATTAGTCACTTTTAAGTAAAACTAGTATAACGTTTAAATACATGTGAAGGCTTCTAGTTATTATAATTTTGGTTATTTGAACACTTAAGAATAGAGGCTTTGGAGTAGTCATGTTATATTTTTCTTCTTTTAGCTTTTTTAAAGCACACTGGTCTTTCAAGTTTTTAATGCTTGAGAATTAAGTTGGACAAAGTTGAAACAGCTATTTTAAAGTCAAAGGCCCAGGGGACTTCTGCTTCCACCTATAACAAGACTAACTGCTCTCCTCTATAAACACATAGTGAATAACATAAATGAAACAACTGTTTTCAGACACTGGACAACAACAGCACAGAACTGTGATCCCTGACAGAGAAAACAAATGAGCCAAGTCCTACAACAACTTTAGCTTACTGCCTGGGTGCAGTTTCCAGACTGTAGCTCAGGGAAGGGGAACCAAAACAGAGCCTAGCGATCTTGCTGAGTTGAAGAAACAGACTGGAGAGGCTGAGGCAAATAAAATTTGTGAGGAGAGGAGGGAGATGCATAGAGAGTGAGCAGTGGAGATCTGCATAATAGTCTCCTCAAATCTGTGGCTGAATACTGATCTATGGATGCCTGAGGTGAAACTCTATGAGGCTGGAGAAATTACGAATAGAAAGAAAAAGGCTGAACAACTCCCAGAACTCAGACAGGTCTGAGAATAGTACAGATTCCTACCAGCCAGAGTGGAGGGATCTTCTGATGAACTAGGAAGCAGGTAGAGTCGTCAGGAGAATATTGCTAAATAGCCCAACACTAAAGGATGCTCTAGACTCAGTCTAACATAGCTTAAAAGGATCAAACTCATCCCAAGTAACTTAACTATATACCAGAACAAAATCCAACACTCTTTAAAGAAATATAACAAAATCTAGCAATCAAGAAGGTAAAATTCACAATTTCTGGCATCTAATAAAAAATCAGGAATGCAAAGCAGTAGAATGATGTAACCTATAACCAGGAGAAAAAAAAACAACAAAAACTGACCTCAAAATAATATTCATGTTGGAACTAGCATAAATATATTCAAGATATTCAAGAACATAATGGAAAACACAAATATGATGAAAAGTAGAATATGTTTTTTTAAAAAAAGACCCAAATGAACCTTCCAGGGATGAAAAATACAGTGTATGAAATATTATGCTGGGTGGGATTAATGGCTAATTAGACCCTTCAGAAGAAAAGATCAGTGAAGCTGAAGTCACAGCAATAGAAAATATCCAAAATGAAGCATTGAGAGGAAAAAAAAAGACAAATAATACAGTTACCTATGGGACAATATCAAACAGTCTAACATACATATAAATTGGAATCTAAGAATGAGAAAAGAGAGGAAAAATGTTTGAGAAACAAAAGCCCAAAATGTTCCAAGCTTGATGAAGACTAAAAGAAAAACAAACAAAAAAACTACAATCAAAGAAGCTCAAAGAATTCAAGTATGACGAACACACACACACACACACAGAACAAGGTCCATGATACAGCTGAAAACCAGTGATAAAAAAATCTTAAAAGCAGTGAGAGGGGGAAAAAAAGACACATTATTACACATAGAGGACCAAAGACACCAATGACAGCAGATTTTCCGTCAGGAATACAAGTCAAAATACAAATGGATTTGAAAGAAAAAACAGTCAATCAAGAATTCTATACCTGGTAAAAATATCTTTTTAAATAATGAAGGCAAGATAAAGACTTTCTCAAACAAAAGCTGACAGCATTTACAGCAGGCCCATACTACAAGAAATGTATATATATAGTTAATATAAAAAACATTATTGCCTCAAAGTTTAATTTCTTTTAAAAGTAAATGTTTAAAGCAAAAATAACAATGTTATGGGGTTTGTAACATATGTAGGAAGCAAAATATATGACAATAACACCACAAGGGATGGAAGGGAAGAAATGGATGTACACTGTTGTAAAGTTCTTATACTATACATGAAATAGAATAAGGTCATTTGAAGGTATACTGTATAAGTTGAGGATGTATATTGTAAACCCTAGAGCAAACAGTTAAACAATCAAACAGAGGCATAGCTAATAAGGCAATAGTAGAAACAAAATGGAATCATAAAGTCAATGAATCCAAAAGAAAGAAGAAAAAGAGAGAAAAAAGGAACAAAGAATACATGGGATAAATAGAAAACCAAGAGCAAGATAACGGATTTAAACCCAAGCACATCAATAATTACATTAAATGTAAATGGTCTAAAGTCAGAGACCTGAAAATAACTTTAAAGAGTTTTCTAGTCCATACCCTACTTCTATCTCTTGGCCCAGTGGAGCAAACTACCCTGCCATGGGTTATCTTTTCCCTTTTACAGACACTTCATTAACCACTAATACCAGAGTATTTTAAAGACTTACATTTGGAATATTTGAAATAAGCCTAATTGTCACAGCTATTTTATTCAATAACTTGAGTGTAACTAGATAGATATTAGATTTTTGCTTTCCAGAATAAGATTAAGATCAGATGGTCTCATGCTATCATTTTTAAAGATGTGATTTATTTCATGATTCATTTCTTAAAAACAGCTTAAAAGTTTTTGATGCTTTTTATTAACTTACAGATTGTCATTTTTATATATACTTAAATGTGCTATTTTCTTTTTCTCTAGAGTATTCATTTTTCATAGTTATACAATTTTTGAACAGGTAACACATTTGCAGGGTTCCAAATCCAAAAAGCACAAAACACCTTACAATGAAAATCCCTTCTTCTACCCCTGACCCATCCCTTCACTTTATCCAGGCCAACAGACAACCACTATAATGAGTTATTCCTTCAAGAGACTTTCTTTAATGCATATAAAAGAAACTATCATTAATATTCTTCCTTTCTTCCTTCAAATTCTATGCAAGTAATTACCTTTTTCTTTACTAGTGATTCTCTCTCTCGATCCCTTTTTTTCCATTCTTCTGCAAGAGCTTGCATATGAGCCAGTTCTTTCTGCTTTAGCTGCAAAAGTCATGAAAAAATCCTAAATATTTTAAATAAACAAATCAGTTGTTTTCAGCTAAAAAAATTAATACTGATCACTGATATGTTTCTTTCAGGCATTCTATTTCATTCTTGAAAAAAAACAGAGGTTGCCTGAAGCAATAAATACCCATATAAGTATAATTCAGGAGAATATAAAGCTGATGGTAACTTCTGTTTTCTAACTCTCTGGTTTAGAGACTGATGATTCCAGATTCCAGAGGGAATGCTAAATGAGGACCTGAAATTAAAAGAAATCTTCAAGTTCTTAACCTCTGAACTCTAACCTTCATTCCTAATTTTGCCCAAGAGTCATGGACAAAGTTTAGGGGAATCCTTCTGAGTGGTTCCTGCAAATCTATCACATTGAGTATTTTTTTATTCTCAGTTTTTCTTGAAGCGTAAGGCATTCTTGATATTCAAAAGGACTAGATGGGGTACTCATGGAACATAGAAAAGCCTACTACGGAGAAGGAAAAATATACTAAGTAGACAAAAACAGAGATTTTAAGTAACATTTTAAAAGTAACCTGATTTTCAAAAATGTCTTCTTGCATCTCTTTCCACATTTCTAGCTCAAGTGCTGCTTTGTATTCTAAGGTTTCACGAGGCTCTGTCTGGATTTCTGAAGGACAAGGTGCTGGAGGAAGAGAAGATGGCTTCTGTTCTATAGCAGATACACCCTGAGATATGAATTCAAAAAAGCATATTGAAACAAACATACACATGCACACAACAGATCCATTTTAAAGAACTGTTTAATAATATTCAATGATATTTACCTGAGATGAGTCAGAGACAAAAATCTCACGCATTTTAACTAGTCCATAGTCTTCCAGAGTCACTGTGTAAGAAAGATCTATTATCCTGTTATTTGACCTATAAATGAAATCATAAATATCTTAAAATTCATGACAACACTTTTATATTATTTTTCCTTTTATTTCCCCAACGCTATAGCATTGAGTAGGCAACATTCCTTGCACCTGACACTTGCTGGTGAAACTGCAGCAGCCTCTATAGGCTTCAATACCTTCCAACACATGATTTTATTTCATCACAAACACTCTATTAAGTACACACCTACATTTAATATAAAATGCCAACAGCTGTAGATCATTTATAAAAATTGAAAAGTATAAAGGAGAAATTTTAAATCTCACAGCCCACAGGAAATTACTACTAAAGTTTAGATTATTTCCTTCATCTCTGTTTTATGTATATGTTGATACACAGGCACTCATGCATGTTACGATTACACAGTTTTGTCCTTTTTTTCCTATGTACATCAGGAGCATTTTCTCACATCATAAACATTAATTCAAAATGTAATTTTTAATGCCTGTAAAACATACTAAAGAATTTATGTGGTAAAATAAAAAATTTAATCTCCCTATTCTTGAATGTAGATAGGTTATTCTAAATACTTTTTCTACTTTTTCTGGGATGAACACACTCTTACATAAATCTTTTACTGGATATGAGCATTGCCTAAGGGTAATTTCTAAAGTAGAATAATTGTTATTTTTATCATAATGAGTACCTCTCTGTATCATAGAACTGCATGTAGCATTTATCATTAAATAAATAATAACAAAATGTTAGAGAAAAATAAAATCTTAGCAACAAAAAAACCATGGCTTTGTCTAAATCAAATATATTCCATAAACTCTTGGTCAAACAAAACTTTAATGAATGGGTCCCACACAATTAGAACTCAATTCACCAAGTTCTACATTTTCTTCTTCTAATCTCACGGATTTTAGAAGAAATTAATATAGTAAAGTGAAACACTACTATTTCCGAAGTTTTCACTTAGGTAAATCTCCTAAAACTTCTCTGTCTACAGAGCAGGGCAATAAAAGTTAGTATTTGTAACATACAAAAAGCATTAAAATAACTTCAACTAGCAATGATTATTTTCATTATGTTCTACTTATGATGACAGAAACAAATGCTAATTTTTAAGAGAGATTTTCAATAACAGGAGCTGCAAAAAAAATTTTTTTCAGTTAACTAGAATATCTGATTCTCTAAAACACCTCGTCCCAACTCTTCTAAGTGAGTAAGTTGTTACTAAACCCTTGACTCTCTGGAAGTGGCCACGGATGGGAAAGAGTAAGGCAAGAAATTTCAAAAATACTTTTAGATCTCAGCATTTTACCAAGCCTGATTTCCTTCTACATTCTTACTACATTTTAAAAATAAAGGCATGTGATATATAGTCAAATTGAATTTAAATTTCTAAAGGCATGTGATATATAGTCAAATTGAATTTAAATTTCTATTGTTAAAGTTAAAAAGATCATTCAATATCTACATTATTTTGTCTAAAATACGCGAACTCAATTTTAGGGCAAAAAAAATCATTTTTTAAAGTGCCAAACATTTGTAACATTCTCAGAGTTTAGATCTGAGGCAAAAGTTGAGATATTTTTTAAGTAGAAAAACAGATACGGTCATTCCCAATGCAAAATAATGTAAAAATACATTATAAATTTGACATTAAGTTACTAAATAAAAAAAGAGATCCTGAATTTAAAATTGTCAGGCTAAAGAGAGGGGAGGGAAATATTTACTCAACAGTCTGTGAGTATTACAGTATTATAGTGGCATACATTCCTCACTTTACGAGTATAGTGGTTATCAAAAAGCTAAAGAACAAACTAGGATATAGCCCCTATAGGTCAAAGAAAGATCAGAAAGAGATGATACGAAAGGATAAGGTTGTAGCTAGCTAATCAGAACAAAAAGCAAAGCTCAGACCCATTATGAGAAATGCATTACCCTTGTGCTGCGATAACAGGCACACTTTCACTGTAAGTCTGACGCCAACACTGTTCACCATTAGAACCTAAAAAGCGAGTTTTTTCTGAAGACAAGATGTTAGAAAGCTGGATTCTGGCAATTCCCAGAAGTAAATCTTTACTCATTTTATCCTTGTGCCATAATTCAACCAGCAATGGAATCCTATGGAAGAGAAAAATATGCATTCATATCTATCAGTTCTGATCTAAGTCTTTTCTAGACTATAATCTTTGAATTCCCTTCTGTAGTGAACAATGTTTTTGTTACCTGGAATGTGAAGGCTCAATTCCACAGGTAACAAATAGGAAATACTATTACATTTTCTACACCTCTTTCCATGCAATAAAGAAAACACTTTAAACACTATTATTCCCACAGATGGTCAATTTGTAGTTACTCTTCATTCTTCCTTTTAAAATAATATACAAATTTGAACTGTGATACTCTGAGAAAGCAAAAAGATTTTCACAAATTTCATTTTTTCTTCACAAATTCATTTCAGATAGCTGGATTAACAATGTCCATTTTATACAGATGAAAAAATAGAAAAAGAAAATAAAACACTGCAGTCATTCAAAGAATCAATAACAAAAACTAAATATTTAGCATTTATCCTCACATATTGTATTAGGAAAAGGCAAGACTACTTTTCAAAGCTTCTTCATTACTCACAGATTGTTTTAACAAAGTTCTAATAACCAAACTCAAGCAAGTAAGATATGAAAATCTGAAAAGAGCCTTTATAACCACAAAAAACTTTGTGGTGGACGCACAAATGTCACAGACATTATTAGTATATTTGTTTCTAGACTCTCAAATGTATAAACTGCTGTGGATTTAAACCTATAGGAATTCCTTGTTTACACGACACAAATTCTCAAGAGTTGTGTATACATTACCTTAAGAAGGTATCTTGCAGCTGATGAGGCATAGTTGCAAAATCAAATGCACAGTAAGATTGGGGAAGAAAAACTTCCATGTTTTTCCGAACTTCTACAGGAGGATTAGTCATAATAGGAGCTGCACTTCCAAAGAATGGATATGAGTACCTAAAATTTAAGAAAAACAAAATCTTATAATACGATTTACAGATAAGATTTATAGTCTATTAAAAAAAGTATAATATGAATATCATGAGCAAATCGAATTTTTAAATAAATAAAGGATACAAATACACTATGGTTTTATTCTTATCATTAACTTTAAAAATTACACAAATATTTTCAATGTTGATATAAAAATTACAGAAATTATACAGAAAATGCATTCTTTGCATAGTACTTGTTCTCGAAGTTGTTTCATAGGTAAACTTTCAATGACTCTGGGGAAGGAGGAGAATTCTGGTATTTTGAAGCCATGAAACCAAATAAGGAAGAGATGGTCATTCTGATAGACTCCGAATCAGACAAGATTTAAGAACGAAAATGACTCCACTAAACAAAGACCAAGCTGCCATCTGTTTAAGAGTTCCACAAGGGCACAAGTCCTGTCTTTTTCATCTTTGCACTCCGAGGAATAAACAAGCAATTTCCTCCATATAGTAAACACTCAAGAAATGCTTGCTGAATTTAATTTCTAAACCTATTTTCCTTTATACAATAATGTCCTGATCTTTTATGAGCTAAAAAGCCCTTAGTCAACTCCAAAAGGATGCATGTATGGTATCCATGTCTTTGAACAGAGAATCAAGGACAAAGGCATCTCAAATATACTACAGATGAATCAGAGTGACATAATATTACTGTATTTCTTCCTTTCATCACAAAAACCACACCAGATTAAAAAGGAAGAATGCCTGACTACTGCTGGACTTATTTTGTACTTAAAGTTAAATATAAAGATTTTTATAATGCTCACTTAAATTTTATTTTATATCTTGTTATTCACTACAAAAATTAGAATTTAAACCCTACTAGTAAAAATTGCTTTCCCTACAAGAAGAATCCTGTGCATTCACTCAATTCCTATTTAATTACACATCCATTGAAATCAGGTCATCTCAGAGAGTTCATGCCCTAGAAATTCAACCCCCTACCGCCCCACTATAGGATGTAGTGATTAAAAAACAAACCAAATACAAACTTTTTCCAATACCAGTGTTACCTCACAAATTCCATTACATAGTCGCAAACTACAATTTCCTACCAATGCAAAGAGTGATAACATAAAGTTTATCAAATAAAAAAATAGCTTGCATTTTTAATAATGACTTAAAATGAATCAAAGACAAAATCAGTAGTCCTTATCATCAAGTGAGTTCTCTGTAGAGTGTTAAGTGGATCATAACTATTTCCTCAGTTTAGAATATTGTTCCCTTTTCTTTGCCAAGTGAATTACTAGCCTCCCTCATATACTGACTTATTTCTGAATCTGTCTTCTTCACTAGTTTGAACTCTTTGTTTATAAAGCCCACATACCCCTAATAGCAGGCACACTGCTGGCATACTGTAGGCACTTAAACAAATGGCCCTTATGGCAGGAAGGGAATGCAAGAACTAGCATTAGTGCTTTCTAAGTGGGCTTGTACAAGGCTTCCCCCTCACAGCAACTAATTTTAGATCGTCCCTTGTTTCTATGCTTCTGGCCAACATCCTCTCTAGGTATCCGAAGATCAGATTCTGCAGTAGCAGCTACAGAGAGATCGCAGCTGAGAGATCTCAGCTAAAGGAGTAGGTAGAGGAAGAAAAAGACAAAAACCTAAAGCAGAGAATAGGTAATAATTCTATATCTAAAAACAATTTTAAGAGATGTTATACAAATCCTTTGAGGAAAGCTATGTCTGCCAGAGAAAACCTTTTTTTGACCTTTTATTTTCAAATTAAAAAACACTTTAGTAATAATTCTCAACCTCTAACATGAGGCAAAATGCAGAACTTAAGCTGCAATGGAGTATTCTATGAATTCACGATCACACTCAGTGTTGTGTCCCTTTGATTTTCTCCATTATTCACACCAGAGCTCAGAGGATTTTGGAGACAACTTGATAAGGAATCAAAGAATTGAAAAATTAGATGCAAGTATGAATTGATTTCTGTATATGAAAGGTAGGTATGTCTCAAATAACAGTAGGAAGCAATGTGCGGTTGCTGACGTTCCTGGAAATGGCAATCTAAGCCGACAGAAGGATTTTCTCACTTTAATCACATCAAGACCAGCAACTTTATTACAAATGATAATGCTTGCTCCAAAGAAATTTATCAGAAACTAAATATTCCAAACTAAAACACATTATTGTATTACATTTAATTTTTACCTCAAGCACAAGTCTATGAAAATGTAGTATTATTAAAAACTATTGTGTAAAGCCATTTAACAGATATACATCATTCTTTATATTGAAAAGCATTGACACACTGCAGTTACAGTTCATTAAGTGTGGTTTTAGATTCACAGCTATAAGATATAAGTGTTAGGAATATAACCTCCCATTTTAATAAAGTCTTATATAGAAAAATAAGATACTACACTTCCATTATTTTGACCTGTGGCACTTTTCCAGAAACAACACATTTTAAGTGCAAAAGTCACTGCATTTTAAATAAGAGCATTAATAAATTATTACAAATATTTATAATTATTCTACCTTAATAGGTAGGACTGTTACTTCTCATACCACCAACGCCATTCTACTTTAAGTTCAAATTCATTAGGACATAGCCTTAGCCCCTTTAAGTCCACTGATTTAAACGTTCTAACATTTTTCGTGACATTTCTCTCTCTGCAACTCCCCCAACAGAAGAAAGGCATTTCTCCTCAGAAAATAATACTCTGAAACAAAATCAAATCACACCTTAATATACAGTTGATTGGAAAACCAACTTCCAAGTCATGGACACTCCTTAAGTCTATTGAAAAGCAAAAATGATGCGATGTTGCTGGAACAGCAATCTTCTGTCCTGAAGCTGTTTCTGAAACATTTGTTGTAGTCACTGGCTGGGCCAGTGAAGCAGGTACAGAAGACCTGACGGCTAAAATAAACATAAAATTTTTTTTTTTAATTCCATTTGCTGACAGTTTCTCTTAAGTTATTGAGATAATTTAAAGATACCATCTCATTTATCTTCAAGCAAGGAATTTGACTATTTGGTTTTATAAACATATGGACTGAGGCAAACATCTTAATGTGACTAGCCCAAAATGATATAGGCTTTAATTCCCATGACAGAATTGTGTAAAAAAAGAGCTTACTCTCAACATATATTGCAAAACACAAAAGCACATGGTACCACTGCAGCTGTGCCTGACAGCAGCCTGGCGGGCACTAACTTACGTCCAAGAGGCAGCTGAATGTAACAATCAAAGGGTTCTCATTTCAAACTCAGTGCAGACATAATTACATCACTTTTTTAAAAGTAGCTTTGGTTATTTTAGGCATATATGACAGTCTAAAAAATCCTGTTATAGACCAGAGATGTTTTAGTGAGTGGCCCAAGTCATCCAGCTACTCAGTGACAGAGCTACAACTCACACCCAAACATCTAACTCCGAAAGCCACCACCACTCCAATTACTTACACTACTAAGTATAACTAGTTATAATGGAAAGATTTTATAAAGCCAGATAAACATGCATTCTCAGACTCTCTCAATTTTAGGATCAAAAATGATTATGAGTTTATTATTAGAGGCAGTTAGTAGCTCTTTCCTCTAAAATTCTAATGTAGTCAAGATATTCGAGAGTTTACTACTTGAAAATCCATTTGAAAGAACTATACCCTTTAATTTCTTTTGAAGAGGCTACTATTTGTAGTGCAAAAGCAAAAGAAAAATTTTCTTACCTTTTAGCAAATTCGATAAAGAAGTTAAGTAGATTACAATTACTTTAAATTTTTTTACATCACCACACACTGGTTCTTAAAAAACTTGCAATTTTTACTTGGAATGCATGAAAACTCTCATAGTCATTTATTAGATGGCTGCAAAATCCATACCTAAAAGATCTGTAGAAAGACCATCTTACCCTTCGGATTTGGTTTCATGTCCTTATCATACTGTAAGCTTTCCACTTCACTTTCTGTTGCATCATCTTTTGTAGGAGGTGACTGGTTGTGAGGTGGAACGGGAGACACACTTGGTGATTTTGGCCCAGCAAGTGTCTTCTCCTTTATGGGGGTTAAAACTTTCTTCTTTGAATGCTGTGGCTCATGTTCATTCTGGGTCTTTAATTCAATTAAAGACTAAAAACAATTTTTAAGTAAAGTATAATTTGCAAAGAACTTTCCTTCATAATTAAGCAAAAAACTTGACGTTTTTAAAAAATATAAGCTTCCTTTCCCAGTTTGGATATTCCTAGTCTATTTTCTTCATAATTTGCAAATTTTCTTATAGCATCTAGGACCAGAAAAAGGAAGATGAACAGAAAGAAAATAGGATATCCAGAGCTAAGTACCAAAACGCATCCTAATGGGTAAGAAGGGATATTCAATAAAAGTGATTTTGTTTCTCTCTTTTGCTCTACTACCTTCTAAAAATATATGCATACATATTTTTTAAACTCTCACTTCAGTTTTTCTATCTTTAATTCATAACCTACACAAAGATCAGTTCTTTAAAAGAACAGGACACAAGTTAATTGTGTCAAAAAACATATACTTTGAAATAAATGCCCATCTCTGTTGCCTAAAGTGAGTATGAGGACTATAAAGCACTAATGAACCAAGAACCTTATCTCAGCTAAGTTGAGTCGACCAAAAAAGATGCCATTAATGCAGATGCCCACAAACTAGGTCTAAAAATGTTCTCTTTTACCAGTGCTGCTTTTCTGCCATAGTCAATGACTATGAGTTGAGGGTGGGGTGAAGAGAATGGTTTCCACTACATTAGAAGACTACACCAAAAGGCTCTGGATACAGTCACTCATAAACTACAGAAGAGGAAGTCACAGCGCTCTTCAGAAAGGTCTTTTCGGAGAGGAGGTATCATGTAGTAAGGGCCACTAATTAAGAGTAATACATGCTGTCTAATGCTAGGTAATTTTTTTGAAGCTCAACTTTTCTGAGTAACCATGAGTGACATCAGAGAAACTGGAGGAGGGGAGGGAGGGTCGCTACTTGCCTGGGCGTCTATGCCTTCTCTCTGCAGAGCCACAGACACTCCCACAGTTGGGGCCAGCTCCACAGGAATAGGAGCAAGTTTTTGTTTGGCTCGGTTTGGAGGGTCGAGGGTAAAAGCACCCTCGACTGTGACCGGGCGCTGGTTGATTTCTGCACCACCTTTTTTCAGCAATCCCGTTAAGGGTATTTCTGTACTTCCAAGTGACTGGTCTCCACAGCAGAGATGGATCTAAGGTGAAAGGGAGAATCGTGACAGGACTTGACATTTTCTCCTTTCTCCTAAACATAGTAAACAAAAAGTTAAAAAATGATCCCTAGAAGGAAAGTTTAATGCAAGCTACCTGACTGACCTGCAGTGACTAAGTAATAGAGTCTCCCACAGGATGTTAAAACTGTTGATGAAGCACGAAGTTTACCAAGAACTCAATAAGAAAGCTATTCTGTTTCATTTTTCCTTTTGGTACTGATACTCATATGTTACCACCCTTTTCTCTATTCCATCTCTTTGGTGAGCCATGGTTACTTCAATATTTTACTATGGTACATCACATATGCAAATTGTATCGTGAATATGAATTTAAAGAGAAAACAAACACCTCAAACATTTTTTTCCATTTCCATTTCAACATTAAACACATTTCTAAAAAATAAGTTAGTGGATCCAGCCCTATTTAGAAATTAAAGAACCTCAAATATTTTTGTTTTATTCACCCATAAAACACCTTAAGTCTTTCTTTCTCTCTTTTCTTAATTTTCAGACTTTACACATAAAACAGGGTGCTTAACAATAAAAGGTTAAAGAGAATACTTCTGGGGTGGTATATACTGTTAATCACTGATACCTACTCAGAACGTCAATATTACCACCTTTTGCAACTACAAAATAAAAAAACAAAAAACAGGCTGTTCCAGCTATTTGTTATATAACTATTATTTTCCTTTACTATATTCAAGCCTTGGCAAAGTCAATATTCATATGAACAAGAAGCAATCACATTATGAAAATATTTTTAGTTCTAATATCATCAATGACCTATAACTTAGTCTTAATGTTATTAGGTGTGATATTTTTAATGCACTGGAAAGAAAGTGTTTTTATGACTTAAATGTCCATGAGAATCAAACTAATAAATAAGCCAGAACCTTTGGCAAGGACTGATATGATAAACAGAGAAGAAAATTCAAAGTGCTTTTTTCCTCACATCCCATCATTTTCTATAGTCTTCAGCTTTCCAAATATCTTGGATTCAGAACCACCTCTAAAATTTAGCTCTACTAAAATTTCTTAATGTCTCTTCTCACCTCCCACCCAAAATGCAAGCAAAGTCTAATGAGCGATCACTTCAAACAAATGACTACCTAGCCCTATACCATTTCAGTCTGATTAAAAGCAATAGTAATAAAAAACAGAATAGCAATATTTGCTAGGTAAGGTTCACTGTTAAATAGAATCCAATTTAAAATTAGTTTACAAAAAATACTCAATTCAAGGGCAGGTTTTAGATAGCTGTGTTCTCTCTTTGCTTTTAATAGCAATAAGGTGTATAAATTCTGCAAACTAGAGTACACCTACAGCTACTCACTCCACTAACCACAACAAAACCTTCCCTGCGCCCACAGCTTTAGGCTCCAGGTACAATTGTTTCTTATAAAGGACTGATAACTGATATACCTCTTTCCACACTAACAAGGTAAGGAGGTGCATCTCCTAAAATTCTGAAGTAGCTGTTACATTACTTTACACGTAAGGATAATTCCTAAAAATTAAAAGATGTAGCAGAAAGACGACTTCTACTACCGAAATAAGATAGAGTTTAGGTACTCTCTAATGCTTAAAAAAATCACCTCTAATAAAAAACAACTTTCTACAGTACTTACTTGTAGTTTAGACTGAAGAGCCAAGTAAACACGAAGAATTTCTATACTGCTACGGATTCGAACAGATGCTCTCTCCGGCTCAAAGTTCGGGTTGATCAAATCATTGAAGGGTTCATTTGTAACGTCATTTCCCAGTAAAGAATAGTAAAAGAAAAACTCAGGCTGTCTTTCTGGAAGTTTCATGGTACATGGAATTAACTAAACATTTAAGGAAAAAGAAACGAGTATTACTTTGTTTTGTTTACATAAATCTTTTTTTTTTTAAGATAGGCCCTGAGCTAACATGTTGCCAATCTTTCTTTTTCTTCTTCTCCCCAAAACCCCCCGTACATAGCTGTATAATCTACTTGCAGGTCCTTCCAGTTCTACTATGTGAGGCGCTGCCTCAGCATGGCCTGACAAGCAATGCTAGGTCTGCACCCAGGATCCGAAATGGCGAAACCCTGGGCCGCCAAAGCAGAGCGCATGAACTTTAAACACTCGGCCATGGGGCCGGCCCAAGAGTTACTACTTTGTAAACTACTAAACATGCTTATAAATGTCTGACGAACTCCAGAAACATTTGCTAAAATGTTGATAATTTTTCATTTCAAGTCTTAAAATTAATCATTCGAAATTTCTAAATCTCTGCCAAATTACTAGTTTGATTAATTTTTAAAGGTTTATCTTAGAAAAGTACAGAGAGACTAAAATATTTTTACAGATTTGTTATTTTAGAGTTTACATTTCATTCAACTGGTCCATGAATGAATACGTGAAAGTTCTTTTAGAAAAAAGTGGTCAAATATTTTAAACTGAGCTTTCCTTATTTCCACATACCTTCTTTCATCTTATCCTTACTTTGCCATCCTCTTCATAAATGAGAGAAGGTTTTCAAAAAATCTTAATCCAGGCTATTTAACATAATACCTTAGTCCAGGCCTTTTTGATAAAAAAGCTTTTTAGCTTCTCTGTCAAAATTTGGAGACCTATAAATTAACAGTTGCAAAAGGATACCTTCTGTACTAGGAGTGTTACTTCTCAAAGTTGGTAGTTTCATGGCCACGTATGATGAAGACATAGGATTCTTGTCCCAAAAAATATAAAATAAAACATCTTCTAATAGATCCTTAATGTTTGCTACCATGTTGTTAAAAATAACAATAAATTATAAATAACTGACGTGTTTATCAATAGGAAATGGCTTAAGTATATTATAGTTATCATACAGTATGGAGGCTAAATAATGATATACTGACATGAAAATTATTTAAGACATATTGTTAGGTAAAAAAAAGTTTTTATAGTGTATGAAAATAAAAGGACTAACCACTTAGATCAAAATAGCCCAGTACTGAGCACATAGTAAATTTCAATAGTTATTATTTTATGTAAAGTTTAAGTAAAACAGCACAGAGTAAATAATAGTTATCTGTTATTTCATACAAAGCATAGTGTTATACATAAAGTAAGTTATTACTTTAATCCTATACTTTAAAATGTATTTGTTTAATTGAGAAGATTTTAATCATGTAAACTTATATATATTGGGAGGGAGCATGTATACACCTACAGTTGTTAAGAGCACAAATTCTGGAGTAAGCTCCAACCACTAACCCTGGTTCCATCAATGGCTTGCTGTGAAACCTTGGACAAATTACTTAATAACTCTGTACCTCCATTTCTTTTAGGGTTGTTGGAAGGATTAAAAGAGATAATACATGTCCAATTCTACAACTGCCTAGTACATAGTCGGCTGTTGTTATGTGAATGGGAAAATCAGGAAAATATATACTACCCTTAACAGTGATTATTTCTGAGTTTTATTAGAAGAGACTTTCATTTTCTTTTAACTTCTTCCATAATCAGAAAACAATAAAAAATTTAAGAAAAAAAGAATTAAATTATATATTTCATAATACATTTATTCTAAGTAATTCCCACTAAGAGAAAGAGATTCTTTTAAAAATTCTTTATTATCCTTGGCTTTAAAAACTATGTGTTTTTTTACCCTTAACTTCCAATATTTAAGAAAAGGAAGCAAGATTATCACCATTCAGTCTTTGTACTCCAAACTCATTCCTCCATTCTATTACAAGTTTATAGCATCATATTCTAAGTCACTGATTTGCATCTGAAAACGTATGTGTTAGTTTATTTATTGCTAGATGCTTTCTGACATTGCCTTTAACTAGCTTGAAACGAAAAAACTAAATGGCTAATTTTTAAAATCCTTGGCTTGTCTGTAAAGAATGAAAAAAGCAAACAAGAAATATTAAGTAATATCAAGAGACGAATAAACTATTGCGCTTAATTTTGTGTATTTTTTTAAATTATTACAAAATACACAACAGAAAAATTATCATTTTAATCATTAAAAAGTCTACAATTCAGTAACATTAAGTACATTCACAACGTTGTGCAACCATCACCACTATCTAGTTCCAGAACTTTTTCATCACCCCAAACACCAACACCATAACTGTGAAGCAGTCACTCTCCATTCCCTGCTTTCTCCAGCCCCTGGAAACCATAAATCTGCTTTTTGTCTCTACAAATTTGTCTACTCTGGATATTTTCTATAAATGGAATCACACAATATGTGGCCTTTTGTGTCTGGCTTCTTTCACTCAGCATATTTTCAACGTTCATCCCCGTTGTAGCCTTATCAGTACTTCATTGCTTTCACAGTTAAATAATATTCCATTGCATCTATATAAATTTTGTTTACCCATTCATCCATCAATGGACATTTGCGGGTTGTTTCTACCTTTTGGATATTGTGAACAGTGCTGCTGTGAACATTTGCATACAAGTTTTTATTTGAACACTTGTTTTCAATTCTTTTGATATATACCTAGGAGTGAAATTGTTGGGTCCTATGGTAATTCTGTTTAATGTTTTGAGGAACTTATTTGACTTTATTTTTAATGGAGATAGCAAATAGCTTGCCAGACATAAATCTGAGATAAGTCACACATAAATTAAACTGAGTGATTTGTCCCAGTAAGTCAGCTAGTATTACCAAGAACTGTATTAGTTTTAGTTGTGAATTCAATAAGTCAATATCCCACAACAAGCTTTTACCATACATACAAATATAGCTTTGCACATATAAACTACATGCTAGGCCCTTTCTTAGTATTATTTCATTCCCCATGCACATTTGCAAAACTGGTAGTATCACCACTACACAACTGAGAAAATTCCAGTCTCAGAAAGGTTTAGTAAGTTGCCTAAGCTAAAGGAGCCAGTAAGTAGTGAGAATAAGAATCCAGCTGAAATCCACCTTACTCCAAAACGCCATAAGAAGCAAGAGAGCATAATATGGAGACAACAGAATGTGGAAAGTGGCATATGGCCAGAAATACATAGGCTATTTACTAGCTGTAAAACCTTCCTAAGACTCAGTTTCCTCATCTCAAAAATGCAAATAACAATCCCCTGAAGTTGTGTAAGATTAAATGCAACATATGCAAAGTAGTTAGCATAATGCCTATTTCACAGAATGTAATACAGTAAGTGATTTATAAATATTAACAATTATGCCTCCTTACGGAGTTGAAAAATACTAAAAATAGAGTGGCAATTTAAAATGCTTTGCAGATATTTAATAACAGTAAAAATACAGTAGACTCATTATCTAATGTGTGTTCTGATGTGGTTAATGAAAAGACAGTGGACATCTGCCTTTCCCCCCAACTAGAGTGGTGTATTAAGTAAAGCAATCCACTAGCAGAGCTTTATGGACAGAAGTAAGGAAATTGATGGAAAAAGACAAAAGCACATATATAAAGTGTCAACAAGGAAATGACAGTACCAAATTAAGAGAGAAAGAGTAAACCTCAAAGAATACATACATAAAAAGTGATTTTTATAGTGGGCATGAATTTAGTGTAACAAAGTGAAACATATTTCCTGAGAAAAATCTTTACTTAAGTCTTAGCAGTCAAATAAATATGTGGGCACTAACTCATATTTCACTTGTGAATACAGACTATGTGGGAATTTTGTACCTCTAAGAAAGTGGATAGTCTGATAAAAATTTTAGAGTCATAAGTCATATTCCCTATTTTTGAAAATATTAATTAATTTTAGTTGCTATAGACCAACATAATATCGAGAAAACTGGACTTGATCCTGAAAAGGACAATGAAATAACAGCTAATTTTGTTTTGAGTCATTCTTGGGAAAAGGCAATCTGCCATGGGCCCTGAGCATCCCTCACATTCTTGCTGAGTGTGCCAAGACTGTGAGGCCCTAACCACTCTCACCCAGGCCATTTCCAGGCTTGTTAATGCACCTGGTAAGCCTAAGAGATAAGGTAACATGTCTTTCCAGACAAAGATCAAGACTTATTACAATATAAGTGGTGTATTCCCCAAGTTGTGTGTTCCTCAGCTTGACACAAACCCAACATGTGTGGGGCAACCACCGGGGCCCCTCTGTGTCACCCCATGGGACTTGGGATAAGGGAAACTGAAGGAAATATACTGATATTCATGTTTCTTGCTGTGCTGAGAGTTACACAGTCCTTTGTCTCTGACCCAAGAATCTTCCGTCTTCTGGCTGCATGCAAGAAACAGTAACAGGCTAAGCTGTCAGTTTGTAAATAAGGTAAAATCTAATCCTAGATCTGACAGCTATTAAGGTATGACTGAAACAAAGTGTTCCCAACACTGCATATTTCTCCTAAAAGTAAATTACTCAATGCTTTGAAAAAAATCCCTTCATATCAGTCCTTACAAAGCCACCTAGTACAATTAAAGATGGTCTTTCTTCTAAATCCTGAGAGATTTATTCTCTTACTACCAAGATCATTCCAATTTATTATTTTCCTAAAGCAAAACTGCTTTCTGACATGAAAGAAAACATTCTTCTAAATTATTTTTAAAAAGTAAAAAAAGTCCACTTGCAAATCTTATTTTAATACCTAAAAGGCAGACTTAAAAAATAAAATGTTTGAAGGTTCTTCATGAATCACTAACCTGAGGGAAAGTCTCACCTGCTCCAGCTGGGTGGCGAATGCTATGGTCACTGACATAATGAAGTAGTCAGTACAATACTCTGCTGGTCCGATCTGATGGTAGCCTTCCTCCTCATTCAGCACTGCCACAACGTCCTTGGGATCAAGTCCAGAGAGGCTAGCAGGTACTTTACAGAGAAAAATACAATTAAACTACATTGCAGTTTGCCATAAACCATTATAAGATTTTGAAAGCTGGTTATACTTTTTAATTTGCTTGGCAGTTTTCATGGATATAGTTAATATCTCACACACTCTCCAAAGAAACTTTATATAATCACCATTTTCTTTCTGCACATCAAAGCCATGTTTTGAAATAAGATAACATTTTTACAACTTCAATTTAATAAACCACATAGAAAAGGCATCAGGTTTCCTGAAAGAAGTGAATCTAAACTAGAAACTGAAAAACAAGCAAAATTCAGCTAAAAAGAGAAAAAGACTGAGTGAAAAAGAGTGTTCTAGGCAGAAGGAAAAATATGTACAAAGACTCAGAAGAAAGAAAAAGCATGTGGTTAGGGAACTGAAATAGGTGTGGTGTGCTGGATCACAGAGCAAGGACTGATAGAACGAGGCGAGGCAGAGGGCATATCATAAAGGGCCTTCTTGAACACCATGTTGAAAATATTCGGATAGTTTTCTAACAATAAGAGAAAATCATGAAATAATTTGGGAAGGGAACTGATATAATCAAATAGGCTTTGGAATGAAGAAACTGTAGAGAGACAAGGGTTTTTCAAATTAAGGAAAAAATCAAAACTACACACAACTAAAATAATAGACCACATTCAGTATTAGGGAGAACGCAGGAAAGTGGGCACTCTCCATGTTGGTAGGTATAGACTTTCTGGAGGGTAATAAATCAGGGCTTATCAAAATTTCATATATGCATATTCTATAAACAAGCAATCCTTCCTGCAGTTAATCCTGAAGAAATATGTTTACTGCAGCACTGACTAAAAAATTATAATAGTTATAAGTACAGACACTAGAGTCACACTGACCAAGGTTCCAATCCCCGTTCTGCCTTTTACTAGTTGTATGACCAAACTATATGGTCTCCTTTAGTCTCCATTTTTTCTTCTGCAAAGCTTTTATAGTGTTAATGAGAAGATCAAATTAAATAATGAAAGTAAAGCACTTAGCACAGTATCTGACAAATACTTTAATATGGCAGCCATTAAATAGTAAGGTCAATAGAGCTTAGAAGTCAAAATAATAACTATGACAGCTGTCTCACTGTCAGGTAGCCACAAGTATGGAAAGGAGGAACACTAGGATAAATCTTGTGGTGTAGGATTGGAAGGATTGAAGGTGTCAATGTGAAGGCATGCTGTTCAATGTATGTAGTGACAAACAGAAATATAAAGGTGTATAGGTATATATACCTGTGTGTGTGTGTATATATCCATGTAAATGTACACATATCTGTGTGTATGTATACATACATGCACAAATTCCCTAACTTTTTCCACTGAAAGGGCCTGGAAGCAGGAACAGCAATGGACATACCTAGCACTTGGATCTTGACTTCTAAACATCATTTTTCACTAAAAGGAAGCAGGGCTCCTTAAAGAAATGGCTGAATCCAGGGCCGAGACAGGGAAAGTATAAGATGAGCCTGAACCATCTTTTTGTACAAGGAAACAAGAAAAAGCTCAAAGAATTATAGAGACAGTCAAAAGGAAACAAAAGAAGCTTGAAGAGGCTCCCAATGCGCAACTCTGAGACAAATAATGATAGCTCAAGGTTGTAACCCACTAAATAAAAAGAGAAAACTATAGGTCCATACCTATATAATATAAATAAATTGAAGGTTTAACGAGGAATCAATGTTTTCACATTTTTCTAATTCTGCCTCACAATATATTTATTAATTATAAAGGAAAACAAGAGTAAGTTTATAGCTGAGAACACACACACACACCACCTTAATCAAGTAATCAAAGTGAACATCATCAGTAATGAGAAAAATCAAAATTGTACACCACCTGGTAAGATGCAATGAGAAGAACAGAGCATCACTTGTGTGACATTCCTGCCAAAGACGTATAACCTAATCAAATATAATATAATCAATCTAATATCAGACCAATCCAAACAGTTCAGGGGCACAAGCTCACTGAAAGACTGAGACCTAATCATAGGACTAAAAAACGCTTCCCCTCCCCCCACACCTTACCACTATATTACTAAAGGCCTATTTTCCTTTTATCCAGTATATCATGTCTACCTTTCAACAAAAAATTACAAGGCACACTAAAAGGCAAAAAAGAAATCAATAATCTAAGCTTCCATTTCAGGAAAATAGAAAAATAGGGGCAAATTAAATTCAAAGCAAGCAGAAAAGAGAAATAAAAACTACAGCAGAGATCAGTGAAACTGAAAACAGAAAATCAATGGAGAAAATCAAAGAAATCAAGAGCTGGCTCTCTGGAAAGATGAATAAAATCAACAAGCATCCAGCCAGCCTAACTAAGAGAAAAAGAGAGAAGACACAAATTACTACTATCAGAAATGAAAGAGGGAACATTGCTCCAGATCCCGTGGACATTAAAAGGAAAATAAAGGAATACTATGAACAATTGTATGCCCACAAATTTGATAACCTAGATGAAATGGACCAATTCCTTTGAAAGACGCATAAAACTCACACAAGAAGAAACAATCTGAATAGGCCTGTATCATTTAACGAAATTGAATCAATAATAACTTTACAAAACAGAAAATACTCGACCCAATTGGGTTCACTGGTAAATTCTACCAAACACTCAAGGAAGAAATAATACCAATTCTCTACAATCTTCTTCAGAATATAGAAGCAGAGGTAATAACATCCTAACTCATTCTATGAGGCCAGCATTACCCTAATATGAAAACCAGACAAAAACATTACAAGAGAGGAAAACAACAGATCAGTATCTCTCATGAACATAGACACAAAAATCCTCAACAAAACACTAGCCAATCAAATCCAATAATGTATAAAAAGAACCATACACCATGATGAAATGAGATTTATCCCAGGTGAGCAAGGCTGGTTCAACGTTCGAAAATCCATTAATGTAATCCACCACATCAACAGGCTAAAGAAGAAAAATCACATGATCATATCAATAGATGCTGAAAAAACATTGACAAAATCCAACCCCCATTCACGATCGAAAACTCAGCAAACCAGAAATAGAGCAACTCCCTCAACTTGATAAAAAACATCTACAAAAAACTTACAGCTAACATCACACTTAATGGTGAGCAGCTTTCTCACTAAGATCAGGAACAAGGCAAGGATGTCTCCTTTCACCAGTGCTTTTCAATATCATACTAGAAGTCCTAGCTACACAGTAACACAAAGTAAAGGAAAGAAAGGCATGCAGTTTGGGAAGGAAGATGTAAAATTGTCTGTTTGCAGATGATATAACTATGGTAGACTATCCATCTATGGAAAAATTCAACCAAAAAACTCCTGAAACTAATAATGTGATTATTGCAAGGTAGCAGAATACAAGGTTAATATACAATAGCCAATCACTTTCCTAAATACCAGTAATGAACAAGCGGAATTTGAAATTAAAAAAAAATACCATTTACATCAGCACCCAAAACAGCTAAATTCTTAGGAATAAATCTAACAAAATATGTATAAGATCTATTTGAGGAAAACCACAAAACTCTGATGAACAAAATCAAAGAAGAACTAAATAAATGGAGAGATATTCCCTGCTCATGGCTTAGACAACTCAGTATGTCAAGACGTCAGTTCTTCCTAACTTGATCTATAGATTCAATGCAATCAAAAGCCCAGCAAGCTAGTCTGTGGATACCAACAGAATGATTCTAAAGATTACACAGAGAAGCAAAAGACCCAGGATAGCCAACTCTACATTGAAGAAGAAGAACAAGGTTGGAAGACTGTTACTATTCAACTTCAAGATTTACTATAAAGATACAGTAATCAAGACAGTGTAGTACTGGTGAAAAAAGAGACACATAGATCAATGGAACAGAATAGAGAGCCCAGAAATAGACCCACATATATACAGTCAACCATTCTTTGACAAAGGAGAAAAGACAATACAATGGAGCAAAGGTAGTCTTCTCAACAAATGGTGGTGGAACAACTGGACATCCACATGTTAAAAAAAAAAATGAATCTAGAGGCTGGCCCAGTGGCATAGTGGTTAAGTTCGCATGCTCTGCTTCAGTGGCCTGAGGTCTGCGGGTTTGGTTCCTGGGCGCAGACCTACACACTGCTCATCAAGCCGTGCTGTGGAGGCCTCCCACATACAAAATAGAGGAAGACTGGCACAGATGTTAGCTCAGTGACAATCTCTCTCAAGCAAAAAGAGGAAGATTGGCGACAGATCTTAGCCCAGGGCCAATCTTCCTCACCAAAAAAAAAAAAAAAAACCAAGAATATAGACACAGACCTTACAGCCTTCACAAAAAGTAACTCAAAATGGATCATAGACCTAAGTGGAAAACACAAACCTATAAAACTGCTAGAAGATAACACAGGAGAAACCCAGATGACCCTGGGTACGGTGACAACTTGTTAGATACAATACCAAAGGCATGATCCATAAAAGAATTGATGAGCTGGACTTCATTAAAATTTTAAAAAGTTCCTCTCTACTAAAGACAACATCAAGAGAATGAGAAGACAAGTCACAAACTGAGAAAAAATATTTGTAAAAGGCACATCTGATAAAGGACTGTTATCCAAAATATATGAACAAGTCTTTTAAAATGGAACAATAACAAGACAATTGACCAATTAAAAAATGGGCAAAAGATCTGAACAGACAGCTCACCAGAGAAGATATACAGGTAGTAAGTAAGCATACATGAAAAGATGTTAACATCATATATCATTAGGGAATTGCAAATTAAAACAACGAGATACCACTACACATCTCTCAGAATGGCCAAAATCCCAAACACTGACAACATCAAATGCCAGCAAGGAAGTAAAGCCACAGGAACTCTCATTTATTGCTGGTGGGAATGCAAAATGGTACACCCACTTTGGAAGTCAGTTTGGCAGTTTCTAATAAAACTAAACACATTCTTACTATATGATCCAGTAATCATGCTCCTTGGTATTTACCCAAGCACACTGAAAATATGTCCACACAAAAAAATGCACAGGGATGTTTATAACAGCTTTATTCCTAATTGCCAAAACTTGGCATGTCCTTGGTGAATAGATAAATAAACTGTGGTACATCCAGACAATGGAATATTATTCACTGCTAAAAAGAAATGAGCTATGTAGCCATGAAAAGACATGGAAGAACCTTAAGTGGATATTACTAAGTGAAAGAAGCCAATCTGAAAAAGCTATATACTGTGTGATTCCAACAACGCGACATCCTGGAAAAGACAAAACCATGGAGACAGTAAAAAGATCACTGGTTGCCAATGGTTAGGGGGAGGGAGGGATAAACAAACAGAGCGCAGAGGACTTTCATAGCAGTGAAATTATTCTGTAGATATACAATCATGGATATATGTCATTACAAATTAGTTAAAACCTACAGAATGTACAACACCAAGAATGAACCCTAATATAAACTACGGACTTTGGGTGCTAATGATGTGTCAATGTAGGTTCATCAATTTTAACAAACGTTCCACTCTGGTGAGGGATGTTGACAGTGGGAGAGGTTGCGTGTGTGGTGGACAAGCGTATGTGGGAACACTGCACTTTCCACTCAATTTTGCTGGGAACCTAAAACTGTTCTAAAAAATAAAGTTTATTAATTAAAAAAAAAAAGAAAAATATGAAGGTTTTGTTAAACTACAGTTAAGAGAGAACATCATAATCATTTTTGGTTTTCCTGCACTCACCCTAGAAGAAAATTTTCGTAAGCAGCAAATTTGAAAAACAATACAAATTTCTACTTTGTTCTGTTATATATCAAATAAAGAAAATAAAATCTTTCCCTATTTCTTAGTTTTGTAAACAAGAGCTAAGAGCAACAAATGTTGCATGTGCAACAATGTCATATTTGCCAGATGCACTGAAGTAAGATCAGTTTATACTCCGGCATATACCTCCTTATAAACCCACCAGCTTCCTAAAGCTCTAGTCCAGATATGGCTTCTCAGAGAATATTCTCAGAGATGACACACAAACCTTTTCCATCTCGAGGAGGGGCTCCCTTTGCTTTAAAACTATCCACTGGTGCTTTTGTATCTGTTTCCAAAGCAATGCTTATCTGTATCTCAGACTTGAACTTGGAGTATTTATTACTCAGCAACTGGTACCATTTTGGTGCCTAGAGAATAACAGCAAAACAAAAAAAACAAAACACCTTAACAGTTAATAAGAAATACACAGTGGGGAATGTTCTATAAGGTTCTAAATATATTTCCTGTAGTTTCTGAGTACTTTCTTCTCTTTTAAAATATTTTTTTTCACGTTTCCCTCAAAAGAAATTAATCCTGCTTAAGAAGCTAAGTGAATTTCCTCTTGAAAAAATTCAGCAGAAGTTCAGACTGTCTTCCTTGCTTCTATTCCTATGTTTCAACAGGTACTATATTAAAGAGAAGAAAACACAATATATTTCTTTCCATCTTTATTCTTATGTCCCTAATCTCACTTCATCCCTTAAACAATAAAAGACTAACAATTTTCCACTGCCTTAACCCCTAATTTTTCACTTTTTCTGTTACACCTTTTCTGCCTGCCACATTTGTTTTGTTCTGTTTATGTGAAATAAGGAAAAGAAAAGTTTAGTGTTAATAAAAATATTAAAGTAAAGGCCTAATGGTAGAGTTTTGGGTTATGAACCAAGATTTGACTGATATCGAAATATAAAGGCTTTCTCACAGAATGAAGTATCCTAAATTACCTGAATATCCCCCCCAAAGTAACCTCAGAAATTCTAGTACCCAAAGCAGTTTGCAAAATCTCCTGGCCCAGGACCACATGTATCATTACTGCAGAGGCACCATTTCAACACCTGGAAACAGCCTTCTTACTCTGACCACTGTTATACAAAGGCAGGGAACTGGTACCTATACTGACCCAAACCAAAAACCTGCTGTTTTATATTCAAGTTATGTTTGATAAGTAAAATAGGATTAACTAGGCCATAGGTTTAAAAGAAAAATCCAAACCAAGTTTTTTTAAAAGGCAAAAATTCATAATATAGTTTGTTGCTGCATTTCTTATGAGAAATATCTTCTAATTTTAAGTATAAGCCTGAAAAAAAGATTTTTAGCTACCTGCACAATTTATGATATATTTTTCATATGTAACAGATGATATATTTTTCTGAATATATATTTTTCTGTTATGTAACTCAGAAAAATAAAGCTAGGTTTTTCTCTGTTAATGTTTATTTACAGAAAATCAATTTATTGCCAACTTGAAATATTCTACTAGCCAACTTCAAATATTTCTGATGGCAAACAGAAGGGAATAAGCAAGACAACATTTAGTTTTCTTAAAACTAATGTAATTTGGAAAGATTTCTCCTTAACTTTGCTCACAAATATGATGACGAACTGTCCTGAAGGACGAGACAAGGGAAAAGGAAGGCCGAGAGCCTTTAGAGGTGTGATCTCCTCTCAGTTATCCCCCTCCTAAGAGGATCGGCCTTCTCTGTGACTCCAGAAGTGTCTTACAGACTCATGCAAGTTGCAGCAGAGAGGCCGCTAAGAGAAACGTCAGGGGCAGTCATGGCTCTTGGTTGAAGGTCTAAGACCAAAGAAGAAAAAGGTTTTTCAGGACGTAGGGGCAGAGAGGTGATGAGTACCCAAGGACAGAGGAGAAACGAGTCCTCTTGCAAAGCAACTAAAATTTCAGTTTCTTTTGAATGACTCCAAATTTGGGCCAGGCTGACTGGCTCATTTGCAAATATCACTGCTATCAGCAGCAAAAACATTAGTAACAGATACATTCTCTTCATAGAATTCTAATTTAAGATTCAAATCAAGAATAGAGAACTTTAATACAAGAATGTTTTTACTTTATTTTCTTAAGAAAGTTGAGACAAAGCAAAGTCATTAAGAAAAACTGAAAGTAAACATTTCTAAAGTCAATAATATACAAAAAATCAGAAGATACTTAAAAAGACATAAGAAGAAACATTTTCAATAACAAAAGGCACTAACACAGGAATCAAAACCTTGAATTCTTTTTTTTTTCCCTTTGTTTGTATGGGGTACTGTTCACATAAGTGTGTTTCAATAAGTTCACTTACTCTGACTAGTACACAAGGAACGCAAAGAGCGGGAAGTAGGGAAATCAATTCGAATGTCTTCTGATAGCCACGGTAAAAAATGATGGCAGCTTAGGCTGGGATGGCAGCAGCAAAAGTGCAGAACAGTAGATGGTTCAGGAGGGGAAATTCAACTGGAAAGAGTGGTTATTACAGAGGCTGGAAAAGAGAGGTGTCGAGGAAGACTTTTGTATTTCTAGTTTACATAACTAGAAGAAGAGTGGTGACCATTCACTGAAGCAAGGAACGCCTGAAGAGGATTACCTATGAAAGCAGTTGCACATGTTAAGCTTGCGGTAACAGCAACCTGAACATGGATTTGAGCTCAGAGAGAAGTTTCCTTGAGAAAGATAGTTCTAGGTCAAAGGAATGACCAAAAAGGCAGGACTTTCTAAATCAAATTCATAAACTAAAACATAAGAACTGTCATATTGGCTCAAACCCATGATCTGTCAGGTCCAGTATCCACTGTCCTTTCCATCAATCTGATACCTTTTGAAAACAATCAACTGTCTAACATAATCAGTAACAAAACATCAAAAGGGCAGTACCTGCTTTGTTTCTTGAGCAGTTCTTAAGTCTAGAACAATGTAACCTATAGTTTCCTTAGCTGAAGATAAAGGATCCAAGGCAAAACACTGGAGTTTGATAGGAGTACGCTGTAGCCTGTAACATAACAATTTATGTGATAAATAAAATAGCTTTTGCTTACTATTGAACTGACTTTCTATTAGCCTTGAAAAAGCTGCCTACTACTACCAACACAATGATAATTTTGTAGGATAACCTGTACTAGTCTATTTTTCCTGAAAAACTCTTCAACTGGCATCAACTATTAATTACATCTACTTATCTACATACCAACTAAGTAAAACAAGTCAAAAATCTTAGTCTCTCTCATCTAAGAAGCTATAATCTAGGTGAATGTTTCTCAAGCTTCTGTAATGTACAGAACTCTTTTAAAGTCAAAAATTACCACGAATATTCAAGGTTGACTTTAAATTGTTTTTCTAATACTGTGTCACACTCATAAAACTACAAATACACATATATGCTCACACCTTTGTTACTAAAAAAATGAAATAAACTTAGGAATTAAATACCATAAACTATTAAAATTAAATTAACAATAATTTAATGTAATACATGACAATATTCTGTAAGCATGACCTTGACTGCATTATCACGGGTTCTCTTGAGTCTGGAACCGCTAGACTGGCTCATACAGTAAGTTGATTCAATTTTGCCACCATTTCTATCTAATGAAATGACTATGAAACCTGCCCTGGCACAGAATCATCATTTATACATTCGATTTATCTGCATTATTTTCTTAGCCTACAACATTCAGAGTGGTACCACTTGGCACTAACACAACTGTAAACACAACCACCAATGCAGGCACTAATATCTCATATCAGCACCTATCTAAGCAGATATTCCAGAAGCCATTGAGAGGAAACAAAAATTTTGATGTTCTCTAAGAATTTAATACCCTCTCAAATAAATCCATGGACTGATCTAGCAATAGAAGAAAATAAATTTCTCTTTGCTCTGTTTAACTTTTTATTTTTATTTGATTTAGTACTAAAAAAGAGCAAGTATTGAAGTGACTATGTGTTTCCCAGAAGGAAATAGATTTTCAATCCTTTTTTAAAATAAAAGTATCAGTTTTCTTGCCTGCTTCTGATCATCAGAGTTCATGAAATAAATAAGAGGCTATAATTTTGTCTGTTTTATATACTAATAAAATGTTTAAATATCTAAAATCAAGTGTAAAATTAATTAGAAAGAGTCTCTCATATAATTACTATGTATATCTCTACATATCCTTGGCAAGCCAGGTAAAATATACAATAAATGAATTAAAAGAAATTACAATGAATTGCAACACATGTTTAATATTAAGTAGGCATCATTATGGCATTTCTAGAATATCTATTCTCTCAGACATCAGCAAAAAACAAAGCTAGATGCAGTGGTTAAAAGCTTAGGCTCTGGAGCTGGACTGGCTGGGCCCTACCACTATCCAGCTGACTGACTTAGGACACGTTACTTAACCTCATAGGCCTCAGTTTTCTCATTTGTAATGTGGGGAAATAATAATACCTCCTTCGTAGTGTTGTTCTGATGTTTAAATGAATTATTGTTGCAAAGTACTTTGAAAATTTCCTGGCACATTAAAAAACCACTCAACAAATATTATTATTATAATCTAATGAGAGATACAAATGTATTTACTTATAATAGCCCAAAAAGAGCAGAACATATTGAAAATAACAATCACCTATGCTGATGAAGTGCCTTCCTGTCAATTTCCCAGGCTAACTCAGTAGCAAATTCTGGCTGGTCAGTATGGTCCACAGGATCTGTAGCCAACTGTTCTCCATCAAACTTTGCTTCTACTACAAGCATATGCTTTGGACGTTTGGGGAAATGGCGACCTGGAAAAGGAAAAAAACAACTATACAGGTTAATCAGAAGTGTACAAATATCAAATATGATCATTTAGCATGTGATTTAAAAATTGATATTATGTTATGAGTGGTTGACTTATCATATATTCCATAAAGTACTTCACTAACACATACTCATATACACACTCATAAGAAACATGAATCAAATTTAAAGCTATAATTTATAATTAGTGCTTCTCAAACATGAATGTCTACATCAATCACCTGAGGACTCTTAAAATGTAGATTCTGCTTCAGCAGGTCTAAGGTGGGCCTGAGAGTCTGCATTTCTATCAAGATCAGGGGTAATGTCAATGCTGTTGTCCTTGGTTCACACTTCGAGCAGCAATGATCTCGATAACATTTAGAATTAAACAGTTAAAATGTGATTACACTAATTTTAGATATTATTATACCAGTACTTAATATAGAACAGTTAAGTCATCTGGAGAGTTGGGAAATAATCAAGTTAGCAAGAACAAATTTACCTGCATCTTCCTTTTCCTGTTAACACAGTTAAGAATACTTTGCAAATTACAGAAGAGAAATAGACTCATGTACTCATTCATCCTATTCGTAAGGACATTGTTGCATATTATCAAGAAATATTAAAATATTCTATCTACACATCACTTTTCATTTGTACTGCCTGACTGTTCACTGTTTACTGAAGGCATATTCAGAGTCAAGTATTATGTCAGATTACAGGACACAAAAAGAATAAAACAGAGTACTTGCCCTTGAGGCACTGAGGGTCTAGTGGAAAGAAACAAACTTAAAACACTGAAAACAGGAAGCTAAAGAACTAAGGAAGAAGCACTAAGAATCTGACAGTCAACCTGTTTACAGGTCTGGTGAGGGGGATCTCGCTCAGGGGAGTTTTAACCACTGTTAAGTAAACATCCCTGCTGCTACTCACTCTGGTACAAGCTACTGGGTTAGGAAGGAAGCTGGTCAGAAAGGCCTTGATTGCAAACCTGTGAGTTTCAGCCTGAGGCTCTACTTGAAAGCCCCTATTTAGGAGTCTTACCAGGTATGGCACGGCTCTCCCAATTAGCACTCACAGACGCCTCTCTCTGGACCTCATTTTCAGCTGCTCTAAAAGATCACTAGGTTCCCCAAATGAATTTCATATATTTCAAAAAAACCTATATTTTCAGTCAGATGATCATAACTATAACCTCCAATAAGCCTGAGAACAGAGGATGTGTAGTGGAACAAACAGGTGCCCGGCTCGTCCCTAAGACAACGAGTATCCTGAGAACAGAACCCTGTCTTCTTCATCCTTGGAATCCAATACATAGCCGGAATTTTGCTCATGGTAAAAACCTAATCATTTTCTTTTGAATAAAGAGCATTTCCAGAAATGTAGTCAAGAAACTGCAAGCAGCTCAATACAGCTGAAGGATTGGGACCACATGAACATATGGCAGGAGGGGAGACGAGGCTGGTAGGCAAGAGGTCTACCATAAAGGGCCATATATGCTATTCAAAGCACAGAGACATTATCCTTTAGGGCACCAAAGGATTTTAAGAAAATTAGGTTCGCATTTCAGAAAGATTATCCCCAAACAATAATGTGAACAGTAGATGTTTTCTGGAAAAGAAGAAAACATTTATAAAACAGACTCCTGAAATGATTATTACAATAGATTAGGTGGATAATGAGGGCCCCAAAGCAGGGCACTCATAATGGAAACTCATTCATTTAAAAGTTTACATGAAGCACCTACTATTGTTTTAAACATAAAATCGACAACACTGGGTAACCATTTGGAAGCTGGGGATGGAGAGGGAACCCAGGAAGCAGATGAGGCCCAGGTTCTTGGCTTGAGGCACCAGCCTGGTTACAGCGGATGGAAATGCAAACACAAGAGGAGGGACAGTCTGGAGGGAGGACACACGCTTGTTTTAGATATGTTTGTGGCAACACCTAACCGACATCCCTGACTCCAGCTTCTCCTCCCTGCATGCTGCTCCTAAACTGAACTTGCAAAAGACACTCTCCTACTTCAGAACACTATACGCTGCCTCCCTACTTTTTAGAACATTAAATCTAAACTCTTTGGCTTTCAAGAACCTCCGAGGCCTACGCATTCTAGGTATACAAGCTTATTTCCTACTACAGTATTCCAAAATATTCACCTTCCTCGACCCTGGTCATCTTGCTGACCTCTTCCCTGTTCCACCTACCATGCTCACTCCCACACTGGCCTGTGTTGTCTAACTGCCTTGGATGACTTTCTTCTATCCTCACCTATCTAACGCTTACTTACCACTCAAGGCACTTCAGCCATCTCCCCACCCACCACCCCAATACCTATGTTTACAGCCCGTATCACATCATTTTTTAATATCACATTACATCCCAACATATTGTGTCCTGCACATTAATTTGATCTTTCCAAGGAGACAGAACGCTACAAAGAGAAAGTGCCTGCCTCACAATTCTGTTTCGTCATAGCATGGGGTACAGCTCCAAGTCCAAAAGCTATTATTAACCAAACTATAAGAGGATTTCAGTCCTAAGCCTTTAAACAATCAGTAACCTAACAGTTAAAACTGCCCCAACACTTTATGGCTTCTGGTCAGTCTTTTGTTCCAAAACTCAAAAACCAGGTTTACGTCTTCTTCCCTCCCACCCCCCAAACAGTGCCAAGCTCCGCAAAATACCTCCCATGGGGGCTGGGGGGAAAGCCACTCATCCCTCTGGCCCACTCAGATGCCTCCTGCTTCATGTGAATCCCAATCTACCCTCACTTCACCTCTCCCCTCCTGTGCCCTCACTTTCCTGCAGTCTGCTCTCCCACCGCACTGAACTGAAGCAATCGCAGAACACACCTTGCTTTTCCACACCTTAAGTGCTTTTTGTGCCTCCCTTTGCCTAGAATGCCTTCCTTCCTTTTTTGACCTGACAAATTCCTAATCATCTTTTAGGACCCAAATAAATGTCACCTCCTCTGGGAAACCTTCCCCAGCTCCTCCAGACAGAGGTGGACATTCCCTCTTCCACACCCTGATGAATTATGTGTTCACACACTCTCCATGCTAGGCCCTTAGCTTTTAGAACCAGGACTGTTTTACTCTTACATTCCCATCTCAGTGTCTGACGCTAGATGAGTGTCCAACAAAGAGATGTCACTCATTCAACCAACCAAACTTCAAGGCATGTATAATAGACCCTCTTGACACCCAGTCTTCTAAATTCCCCCTCAGGACTTGCAAAGGGAAAGGCCTCCGCGCTACTTCTGAAATTGCAGGAAACACTTACTGGAGTGAAAGCAAAGTTCTTACAAATGGTATTACCCGGATGCCACTGAACAGAACGTGCTTTCCAGGCACACTTCCAGCTCGTATATAAAAGTCATCGACGTGCTGCTTCTGATGGAAATCGTTTTTTCCTATATTCTCTGGGGCTACGGCTATCACGCTAAATACCACCTATCCCTAATAGCTCTCACACTCCCCCGAGAGATTTTTAAATCAATTGCCTAACAGATCTCACTACATTCAACTCTGAACAAGCCTTTGGGGACTGCAAAAGCAGGATGACAGGGTTCTTAAGGTTAACAAAGCCCCGGTCCGACACTCCTCTGTTAAAACTCCGGAAGCAGCAGCTGCAAAAGCAAGTCCCGGGCCGCTCACCTTCTAGGATGGACACGACAATGAGGAGCTGGTCGGACTTGGAGACCATGGTCGCGGCCGGCGGCCCGCAGGCGGGGTCTGCTGGGGGGAAGAGCGAACCGGGTGAGTTGCGGTAGCCCGCGGCTCCCGGGGGCTCCCACTGCCCGGCCCCGGCTCTGAGGCCCGGGCCCGCCGCCGCAGCCTGCAAGTCCCCGGCCCCGGGCCGCCAGCCCCCCCCTTAACCAGCCCCGACTCAAGGCAAAAGCCGCTCGGCCACTTGGCCCGGCCGGAGGTAGAGGCGAGCCCGCCGCCTCAGGACCTTTTGCCGCCTGTAGAGCCGCTTTTCAAACGCCCAGGCAGCCGCCGCGGCCGTCGCCGCGCCCCGCTTCTGCCTAGCAACCAGGCCCGCAGGCCCAGTGCCCCGGGGAGGCTGGAGGACAAAGGATGATAGAGATCAGCGCAGTCGAGGATAGAACGCCGCTCAGCCCGCTTCGCCTGCTGCCCTTTTACGCTACGTTCCAGAGCCGTAGGGAGAAGACTAGTCCATTACCTCACAGCGCCCCCTGCTAGCCGGACTGGGGAAGGCGGGCGATTTGTTCGGGAGCAACTGCGCAAGCGCACTACTGCAGTAAACGCTTCCTGAAGTTCCCTTTTAAGGAGTGTGGGTGCTGTCTCTGCTTTGTGCCCCAGAGGCAACCTGGAAGTAGCCTGTCGCTAGAGATTTAAAAAAGAGAAAAACTAGCTCCGTTCTGGTCCCCGGTGTCCACACTGCTTAAAAATTAAATCACATAAAAATAATGACTTAAGTCTGAACTCCCTAAATTGCCCTCACGCGGCACCTCAAGTTTCCACGCTTTGAAAACAAGTAGGGTCAATACGGTAATTACTGTAACTGTTGGCGGTGACGTAAGGTCTCCGAGAATTTCCTGCACTTTAGAAATTTCACTAAAGTAGAAACACTGTCAAGCGGACAGGGTAATTAAAGGTATAGGTTCTTCTACACCCTGATAACAAAGTAATTAGCACAATCAAGACCAAAAGTTTAACAGGGCATTTCAATGCCGTCAACTGACATTTTTCCCTTTACACTCCTACCCCCCAAACTTCAGGCTTTATTTTAGGAAAGATAAAGAATCTTTTGGAGGCTATCTAGTTCGAAACTGGACCTTGAGCAGGGTAGGTGGGGGGGGGGCGGGGGGGGGGGGGGAGGAAAGAACAATCCCCACCCCTCACCCCTAGCCCCACCCCTGCTTTGTACCCAAAAGAAAAGGAGTAGTATGCGGAGACTGGACTAGGTTCTTTCTAAGACCGTTTCAGGTCCCTTCAGAGACCTCCCTGAAATAAGACATTATGCAATACAAATCGAAGTAATTATCTACTTTGGGTTCATCGTCGAACAATGCAATCTTTTGTAGAACATGGTAAACAGATTCAAAAATAGATAGAATAATATGATGAACCCGCAGGTAACCAGATAATCAACAATTACCAACTAAAAACCAATCTTCTTTGATGAGGATTTTAGGCTCGTTAATTTTAAAAACTGCAGATGAGAAGCAGGCTCCGAGGACTGGAATTTGCTTGCCCTTTGAGAGACATTTGCATTTGTGAAAGAAGGGAGATGACCTTGTCCCTAGAAACTCTTAATGGGGTAGGCAAGAATTTAAGTTGGTTACTGTCTGGCAATCTCATGTAACTGGTTTAGGGTGGTGGCTTCTGACCTTTACTTAATCCAATTTGATTCTTATCTAAAAGTCATGGGATCACCCAATAGCCAGACCCTACCTGCACTGATACCATTTTAACTTTTTTTCATATTCTTTCCTTTGTCTGTAAAGAGATGGCTCACATACCTAAGCCTTAAATTTAGCCTTGCTCTCCACCCGTGTTTGCAGCAGAAGCAGCTCTGATTGCCCGTGGGTCCTGTCCCCAAGCACCACCTCTGCCTGCCCATGGGTCCTGTCCCCAAGCACCACCTCTGCCTGCCCATGGGTCCTGTCCCCATGCCTGTGGCAGCAACAGCTCCCCATGCCAGCAGCAGCTCTGACTGCCCATGGGTCCTGCCCCCATGGCAGCAGAAGTGGCAGCAGCAGCACCTCCTCCTACCCGTGGGCCCTGTCCCCACGCAGCAGCCTGACTGCCCATGGGTCCTGTGCCCATCCTAGTCCACACTATTCTCTAAATAAAAGAGCACTACTGCCAGATCTTGAGAGTCCAAGAAATCTTTCTTTCGACTCCTCGGCTCACCGACCCTACATCATTCTTCATCTATTGCATTAATTTGAAGGAAATCCCTAGCATCATGTCAATTCATCTCTTTTAATATATACCTCTAAAAGACAAAGATTTTTTTAAAATATCTTAAAATATTAGATACTTCACCATAATTACATTATTTTACCTAAAAAACAATAACAATTCCTTAATACCATTAAACATACATTGTTCAAATTTCCCTGATTGTCTAATAATTTTTTCAGTTGGTTTGTTCAAATCAGGATCCAAACAAGTTCCGAAACACAATGTGTTTGGTTGGACTGTCTCCTGTCTCTTTTAACCTATAAGGACTCACTCTCTATTTTTTTTTTTCTTGAAATTCTTCTTTGAAGAAACTGGTCGTGTATCCTGTAGAGTTTACCACAGTCTACATTTTGTTGATGGAATACTAATGTTGTATTTAATGTACATACATCCACATTGACAGTACTCAAAGAACATTAGCAAACAAATCAACAACAAGCAAAATACAGGGTTATCAGTGGTGTAAAACGCTATTTAACCTTAAAGTCTGGACAAAGGGAGGTCAGAGTAATGAGACCGAGTGTCTCCAATGGAAAGAAGACCCCAGGAGATCAGAGTCTGAGACCTACCTCTGCCATTTACATGCTGGGTAACCTTACCCAAGTCATTTTATCTCCTTGAGCTTCAGTTTCTCCTATACAATGTTAGTATACATGATTCCTTAGTTCAGGACTTAAATGTAGTAAATGCTATTTAGTTATTATCTTTTTACAAGAACAATCTCAGACCTTAAGTAGTAACTGTAAAAGACCCAGGAATTGCCATCAATACACCTTGCTGTTTTGCTTTAGGATATCCAAGCAGGGCTGAAAATCTAGATTGTAAACCACCACTGAATGCCAGAGAATAATCTCAAGTCAGAAAAAAATCTGACAAATCATTAAAATTAACTAAGAAACTTTTTCACGTAGTAAAATTTTCACGTAGTTCCCTTTTCTTGGAATTTCCCCTGCCCCAACAACGCTATTACTTCTAAAACCACCTCATCACAGCTACTGAAAAGTCATCAGCTTAGTGGGCATGGTTATTTTTCAGACTGTACAAAATTAATGACATGAAATTTCCCATCTCTCCCATCTAGAAATGGAATTATAATTCCATCAGCATTTATAGCCTTCTTATCTGTTATTCTATAATCTAATTTCCTTTCATATGCGATACTAAACAGTAGTAACTTCAGTTCTGGCATAAATCATCATATTTTAGCTTAAATTCATTAGAGAAAATTTTGTTATAACTTTATAAAGTACCAATTACTGTTTCAAAATACGTAAGTAAATGCTAATAAAATATAAAATTTTTGTCTATTAGGCAATGTAAGATTCATTACACTATAAACATGCAAATTCAAACTGACGAGTTTGATTATATACTTGATTCTGAATTCATTAGTTTGTCAGCCTAAGAGCTTATTGTATTAGGTAGCTTTCTATTTCTATGAATTTACACACACACACACACACAAAAGAACAAAACACAGTGCTTTGACTCATTTTAAGCCTTTCTTTTTCTGTAGCTATTTTATATTTGGGAAAAACGCTTTACTTGTGGTACGCCTCTGTACTTTTGATCTTTTCAACAACATCTGTGGCCCACCACAGGAGGGATCATGAGTTGCATCCCACTTCCTCAGCCCCTTCCCTTTTTCTGTCCCCTCCCCACCACACACGCATACTCACACACGCATACTCACACACGCACACTTAGTAAAATTTAAGGCAAGCTCCCAGGGCTAATAAATTACGGGTATTGAATAACTGCTATTTGTAAAAAGCATGATCTTCAAGAGGTGCTTAGAAAATAGTCTCCTTCTGGAAGGAGGGGTGGGAGTGGAGGTAGTAACTATTACCTACTTAGTGCCAAGATCAGGTGACTTCCAATCCAGGATCTGATTTCATTAAACTTGACAATTAATTTGGGTGTCTTTAATGCTTTGAATAAAGGCCACTAATGTCTACGGTAGGAGAGACAATGTCGCCCAGTAGTGAGAATATACCTGCATTCCAAGTTCCACAGTGTTTTTAGCTTAGTCACTTAGCTAAGTCCCTTTTCTCTGAACCTCAGTTTTCCTCTTGGTAAAACACGGTAAATAGTCCTTACCTCATGTGGTTTTTGTGAGGATTAAATGGCGTTGCATCTTTTAAGGGCCTAGGCTGGGATGAAATCTCTGAATGTGGTAGCTATTTTTATTTTTATTGTGGAAAGATTCTGGTATTATTTTGTGATTTGTTCCTTTTCTGCTTCTGCGAAAATAACCAGCTGCTCTATACCCCATTGCCTTGGCCTAAATTTGTGTTTTAGGGGTGATATCCCCGCAAACAGCCCCTCTCCCTGGCTTTTGTGGAAGTCTACAGCAGAGCCTCCCAAAGTCAAACACTCCTCCAGGTCAGCCAGGAGCCACTGTGAAGTGGGCCGGGCTGGGCCTGAGCGGAAGCCGAGCTCCATGGCTGTGGAAAGGGACAGCCCTTCTCTGCCCCAGTTGGTTATTGCCATGCAGTAAAAGCCAGATTTTCCAAATTTCCATAAAAAGCTAGAATTATAGATTTTTACATGAACTCATACAATTTTTAAATGCTGTAACTAGTTTCAGTTTAAAAAACAAAAAAGAAAAGAAACACTGCAGGAGCCAAACCCAAACTTCTGCCAGCTGTGGGTTAGTTACCTTTGGCCTAAATTCATTAAGGTGATTATAATGAGTATCCCAGAAGGGCAGGGAAAGTGAGCAGGAAGGAAGGCAGAAGAGATTGCCTAAAAGGGGAAAGGAGAGGGATGAAGGAGAGTGTGGTGGGGACCCACATTCCACTCCCTGGCAGAACCTTCAGGAGGGGACAGAAAGGGACTCGCCCTGTGGAGTCCCTAGGGAAGTGAGACTTTAGGCTCCAATTTGTCATCCTTGACACAGGTTCTTATGCCCCTAATTTGACACAAAATCAGCAAACTTACTAGACTTCAAGAGACCGTGGAGGCTTGGATGTAGGACAGCATCTCAGTGACCAGCAGGGGC